TCTTCTTTAATAGGCCAAGGAAATTGCCGCTTTTTAAAAACTGTTTAAATTTCTAACTTTTATAGAACGAACAAAACTGCTTATTTCTAAGGAAAAGTTGATCTTTAAATAATGTAGGTTTTTCCTAACAAGAGTTACAGTTAATAGACCGATTTTAGCTAAAAAAAGGATGTTTCTAAAATTTACTTTGTACGTACTTTCAAAGAAATGCATGGTAAGCCAAGTTACCTTGTGATGTAGCTTAAGAACTTTAAGAGGCTCTTAAAAGCTGCTGTTACATCTACATCAGTTATAGAAGTAACTTTGAAAATTATTCTTAGATACCAGTTTTACTTTTATCAAAATTCAGCCGCAAGGCTGCTAGGTATATTTGAATAAACTATCTATCTATCTTTAAACTTATACAGTTCTTAGCCATTTGAAATTGTTCCTACAATGTAGTTTTATCTGTGCAAATGAGGCTTTTAATCATGAAGTGTTCTCTATTTGTAGATCGATGTATTTTTCCATGTGGAGAAGAGAAGTCTTGGTGGATGAATTTCTTCCTGTTTTCTGTGGTAATTCCAGGATTAAAATTTGGAAAATCGACAAAAAAAGCCATCTTTGATCTCTCAACTGCTCTTTAATATAAATATTTGAGAAATAAATCATCCGCACCGATCAGGTAGAAGTGACGTCATGAGCTATGACGTCATAGGAACGTCAGTTTTGCACCAGAATCTCTTTTTAATGGCATTCTCATATTAGAGTGAGGCTGAACAGTAAATTTTCAAGCGGTCTTTAAAAAAAATAGTTGAGGAGTACAAAAATCAGGAAAAACTTATCATGAATTAAAAACGCCACCTCCTAAATGTTCTTGTTTCATGCACAAAAGTCGTAGTTCAAACTTCGCGCCTAAGTGTCTCAAGCGCTTCACATTTCACACGTTTTTAGCACTTCATTCTCGTACGTCACTTAACTTGCGGCTCAAAATTTATGCTCCTGTTTCACTTATGGTGCTCGATCTTCACAATTCACACTCGCCCTTCAAACTCCACATTTCACACTTCGCACTTCATTTCACTTTTTCACGCGCGCGTATCTCACCTCAAGCTTATGATATGCACGGTGCTATGATGGCCATTTCGGTTTTGTGTTTAAATAATGAGTCTCGCACTTGATCATGAAAGAAAAAAAAGGGGGAAAGTCCAATTAGAAAGATATGAAAGGGTGCACTGTTAATGCTATTGCTGACCGGATTTTAGCTTTCAACCTTTTGTTATCTTGCGCACACTTATCACAACAAATTATTTTGGGGGCTTCCCATAGTTTTATTGTGTATGGACTTTTTCTAATTTACTAATTCACCCCGAAAAGGATAAGCATCGACTAAAAATTAAGAGCAATGTTAAATTTGAACTTCCTTTATTTTACCATTTAAAATTACCATTTTACAGATTGTTTTTCTATGTTATCACGTCAGTCTATTTTTGAAAAAATTAAAAGCTTTGGTCAACAAACAGACATTTCTCGCGGTAAGATCAATTTTCGATCGTCATTTTTGGAGCCAGAAAACAAACACTTCATTTCCGATTCAGTTCGATTATGACACAAAGAGACAGGTAAAATCTTCCTTATTTGAAAGTCAAAAAAAGGAACTGAAAGCAGCTTGACAGCTTTCTGTTACCGAAATTTAGCTGAGCCGATTCTATGATGCAATTTACCTTGGTAGGGAAACTCAACCCGTCTGCTATTGTACTCCGCCATGACAGAGTTTCTTTCACTCAAGCTTGCCGAGAGAACTGATTCTCTAATTTTGATAGAAACATTTTTGTTCGCAGTTATCAATGTTACAGCCCTTTCTGGAAATCATATAACTCTATACGTCGTGTATAAAAACCAAAGGCTTCGTCGTCGATAACATCGACATGGTACGTGAAGAACCCAAACTACCACGACAAGTGTACTTAACTTACAGCTTCTTAGTTTATCTGAGTAGCACCATCAACCCCTTCATTTATGGCATCATGAATAGACAGTTCAGGTGTCACAGTTTGGTTCCTGGCTCTCACTGGATCTGTTCCACCTATTTTCTTCGAAGGAGGTACATTTGATTTCCAACCTGGAAAAGCAATGTGTTTGTACACATTTGAAAGTAACATTGCTTACACTGTCTTTATTGAGTGTTTTTATATCGCAACGCCCTTGATGATCGTCACAGTTTGCTATGTCAAAGTTTTCCGAACAGTTTCGCGATCAAATCGCGTTTTCTCCCGAGAAAATAACCTCAGTCAACTCCGGGCGAACGTGGAAGAGGCAAAAGTGACAAAGACATTGGTAGCAGTTCTGGTTGGGTTTGCGTCTTGTTGGCTCCCAATTTCTGTCATGGATAACATTGACGCCGCCCGGGGTGAATATACTTTGCCAAGACAAGCATATCTGACATACACATGCTTGGCATATGTCAGTAGCACCATAAACCCCTTCATATATGGTTGCATGAACAAGCAGTTTAGGCGGGGATACAAAGTAGTGTTTAAGAAAATTCTTTGTGTTCGTCGCTGGAGCAGCGACAGCAGCTCTGAAAGTGGAGGAAGAAGTTTTTTGACGCGAGCCTGGTCCATTTGAAAGCTTTCAGAGACTTCCGAAAGAAATACTTAGAAGGACGATCCGAAAATAAAATTGCCACAATTCCATTTTAAAGGGGTCAGAAATTTTTCTGTAATTCATTACACTGTCTTCAATCATGAGCTGTGAAATAAACAAAATTTCTTTACATATGGTGCACGATATTGGCAGTAGATAGCGCTATTTAAGCAATAGCGAAAATCAGACCTGAAAAAAATCAGGCCTCTACGGGATTCGAACCACTGATCTCTGCGATACTAGTGCAGCGCTCTACCAATTGAGCTAACAAGCCAACTGGGAGCATGCCGTTAAGTTGATTCGTAATAAACCCGTGAAAGTGATAAATCAGATACAATGAAATATATGGAGTTCATATATTTTGAACTGCTGTATCAGATACATATGTATTAGATTTTGTAACAAAGACATAGGTATTAGATTTTCGCTGTTGCTTAAATAGCGCTATCTATTGCGAGGATCGTACATCATATGTATCTAATACCGCAGTTCAAAATATATGAACTTCATATATTTCATTGTAACCAAAATTTCTTTAGTAAACAACCCTTTTTTCCAATATAACAGTCAGTTTAAATGAAGCAATCAAAGTACAGATGATGGACATGTAGAATTTTTCAATGATTAAAAAGTTATGAAATAAAAGACACAAATGTACTTCTAGTTTTATTAGAATTCTAAGTGGAGTCAGAGCCGTAAGTAATTTGTTTGATTTTTTTTTTTTTTTTTTTTTTTTTTTTTTTTATCTTTAGGAACTGAAGTGTCACCATTTTAAGTTAGATCAAGTTTACAAGTAATTTTACCATGAGAAATGAGGCAGTCAAAACACAAAAAAGAAAATGAAAAAGTCTTTTTTCGGCGAGAAAAACAGAACGTCACACGAAAGAAAGAAAATTATTGCCAGTTAGCCTAAACAATTATGACATCTTTCTATTGAATTCTGGACGGCTATGTGTTCCGCATAAGTTAGTCTGACAGGTTAGTCTGACCAATGCCCCATCATAGGGCGCCTACTATCTGAGAGAATGAAATAGTGTTTTAGGTTCGGCCGAGATATTTATTAACTTTTATTATGGGGGAAAAATTTAAATACTTTGTTTCCTTTTTTTTAAGAAAAAGTCAAGATGGCGGTCAAGTTTATCTCAGGAAAAAATTGTCGGTAATCTTTGGGAGATTCCGAGCTAGTGAAACTGTAGCCCTAACCCTAATCAGCTGCAGAACGACTTTTTCCAAATGAAACTTTAATATTGTTTTCTTGAAATTTCCACCAGCAGATTTGGGCACGCGAACAGCGGTACGTCAAACGGCTTTTTGATGAGTGTTGTCTAAAAGAAGTCATGTCTGTCTATTTACGGCTACATATAGTCACATTTCGAACAGTCGATGAAGGGAAATGATCGATTGAATCTCATGAGTTTTAGTTGAACTTCTAAATTACTGTTTGGCAAGATTTTTCTAGTTTCTTCTTTCAATCTGGACACTTGAACAAATTGAAACGCGTTAACCAGTGGTTGATTTATTGTTTAAAATGAAATTTTCTTTTGGTTATTCAGCAACAAGATGCTCGGACAGCATCCTCTCGATTTTTAAATTAAGTTTTTCAGCTCAAACACAAATTGACGTTGTTTTAAATTTCAAATTTTAAATTTAACTTAAATTTAACTTCCCCTATACAATGCCAACAAACTAGCTGAACTAAAAGTTACAAACTTGACTTCAAAGTTTCTATTGAGAGTAGCAATTCTTTTTCTTTCAGTTATTCTTGAATGCGGAAGTTAAAGTTGTTGAGGCTCTTCAAGATATCTTATCCCTTTCGTGAACGGTGGGATTACATAACGTTTGTTTCAGTTTTCAAGCCAGGTGTCTGGAGATAAACAAGATATGGAAAAATAGAAGCCACATCTTCTCTTTCACTCAAAAGAGTTATACCAATCGCTAATAGCGACTCACTAACATTTATTCGGAGTTAAACAACTGACAGACCACACGTGCTCTCGGACACCAGAAACTTAAAGTCGATCTGTTATTACATGTTGCAAATTTTGTGTTACAAAATCCAACGTGATTAGAATGACAACAACGATGACATCAAAACCGTATTTATTATTTATTGATTGCAATGTGTTTACATCTGTCATTCAGTTCAGAACTCACAATACTACGGCGTTTAAATGGGTTTCAACGATCAATGATTCCAAAAGTTGTCAAGAAAGACTTTGCAAAAGCTTAGCTTTCGCACCTTTTCGCCGATGTTATTGACCAAATGCAATGATGACAGACACACTTTCCCTTGAGCTTGCCAATAGGACTGAGGCCTTAGTTTGGACTGAAACAGTTTTGTTTGCTGTAACCAATTTTGTGGCTGTCCTCGGAAATCTTTTCACTTTTAACGCCGTGTACAGAAAGCGCAGGCTGCGAACAATTCCCAACATGTTCGTGATAGCACTGGCTGTGAGTGATTTACTGATGTGTACCTGGTGTATGCCTTTTACAGTTGACACTCTGTTCTACGGCCGGTGGATGTTTGGCGAAAGATTTTGTCTCTTCCAAGGTTTTGCAGCACTGACTTTTGGAAGTGTCGCCATGGTTACCATGAGTGTGATTGCGGTCAACCGATTCTTCTGCGTTGTAAAACCACAAAGGTATCTCTTTTTGTTTAAGAAGCAAAGAGTGTTCATATACATGGTCATTGTTTGGAGGGTGTCTCTCGCTGGATCTCTGTCCCCGTTTTTCTTTGAGGGCAAAAACAGCTTCAAATTTCAGCCTGGAAAAGCAATGTGTTTGTATGCGTTTGAAAGTAACATGGCTTACACTGTAACAACCGAATGTCTTTACATCGCAACACCCTTAACAATCATCACAGTCTGCTATGTCAAAGTGTTCCGTGCAGTTTCAAGATCAAATCGCGTTTTTTCTTCAGACTGTAACCCCTGTGAACTCCGTGCGAATGTGGAAGAAGCGAAAGTGACGAAAACTTTAGTAGCAGTTCTGTTTGGCTTCGCATGTTGTTGGCTTCCTATCTCTGTCATGGACAACGTGGACGCCGGGCGCGGAGAACCCACTATACCACGACAGGCTTACCTGACGTACGCGTTCTTGGTCTATCTGAGTAGCACCATCAACCCCTTCATTTATGGCATCATGAATAGACAGTTCAGGCGAGAGTACAAGATCCTCTTGCGCAAGATTACTTACTTTCGGCGCCAAAATAGCAGCAACAACAACAGCAGCCACAGCACTGAGTGAGCTGCTTGAATTGTTTTCATCTTCCCCAATCTTAAAGAGTTTCACAAGCATCCCAACAAAATGAGACCGATAAGTGACCTTGCAAGTTCAATGTTAAAGCCGAAGATTTTCCCTCTCTGAAGTCTAGCTCTCAAGGCAATTTTTTTATTTTATGTAGTTGCAAAACTCGTAGTAACAAAGGAAAAGTCATAATTACATTTACGTTTTCTTCGCGACATTGTGTTTCCTCGTTGCAATTTCTTTCAGAGCAAAGCCGATTCAGATCAAAAGAGACCGTCTTTAACGACAAAGAGTGTTATCAAAAATAAACAAACTTCTTATACAACGAAAGACAAGTAGACGATCGTTATTTTAATGAGGGCGATTCTATCTTACATGTACATTAATTTCAACATTAAAACTATATTTGAAGCTCAATTTCAAATTGTTTTTGTCTGTGATCTTTGCGTTTTTCTCATTTATTTCCAACCATTCCCATTTTCACTTACTCAAAAATTTATTTTGTTACAATTAGTAGAAGTGAGTGGTTATAAAAACTGACAACAAAGACGAAAACAGCGGTGCCGCAGTGTGGCACAGGAATTCATCGACTGAGCACAAACATATGAAATATTGTGCACACAGTGTGACTGAAAAAATGAGTGGAAAGTTTCTATTGGTCAGCTTGTTTAGCATGCGTGGAAAATTATTAAATTTCGTATGCGATCAAGATTAAAAAAAGCTTAACTTAATTGTATTTTATTTTGATCGGCATATAAGACCGCGGAAGTCAAGTGTCAGTGAAATTTGATGTTTGCACCAACTCACGTTTCTGCTTGCTGCTTAAAAAGTTAACTCAAAACTGTAGCGGATGTTGCCTAAACATCTTGTTTCTAAATATTCACGCGAAAAAGTCACCTCAACATCCTAGATGGTTCTGTCATGTAATCACAAATAAGGTTTGTTAGGAGGAAGTAACTCTATGTTGAAATGTTGAGCATTTGAATGAATATTGAGCAGGTTTCGGTACGGTGATTTCTTACTTAAAACAACAATTGCTCCTAAAAGTGGATAATGATGATGGAGACCACATGGAAACTCAAATAGTCTTTCCCTGAGCCGCGATTGAACAAATTTACTCTATTGTAATTATATCTGTATTTAGTTGTTCATTTCATTCATCTCTTGCTTGGCTCCGAGCCTAGGGGAAGTCATTGAAGGGCACAGTAAGTCAACCTAAAAAAAAATGTTTAAAAAAACAGAGAAATGTCAGCAACTGATATAGATATTCAAAAAGAAATCCTGTCACATAAATAATAATAATTGGAAACCGTTGCTGGGACAATAAAACCGGGCTATATTGGGTCAATAATGATAAAGACAGATAATGAGGTCGTAAACTTTACCAAGAAAAATATCCCTAACACCCTTTCATCAACCATTACCTCAGAATCTCCACAGCGGTTACAGTCACAGTTTTCTTCACTCATTTGTCAAGAATGATGGTGTCCAACACACTTTCCCATGAGCTTACCATTAGATCTGAAGTCTTAGTTAGGACTGAAACAGTTTTGTTTGCTGTTATCAACGTTGCAGCTGTCATCGGAACTCCTCTCACTTTTTACGCCGTTTACCGAAAGCGTGGGCTGCGAACAATTCCCAACATGTTTGTAATAGCACTGGCTGTCAGCAATATTCTGATGTGTACCTCCTGTATGCCTTTTACAGTGGCAAGTATTTTCCACGGCAGCTGGATCTTTGGTGAAACGGTCTGTCGTTTTCAAGCAGTTGATACATTTACATTTGGGATGAGCAGTCTTGGAACTATGACAGCAATTGCAGTCAGCCGGTATTTCTGTGTTATCAATCAAGAAAAGTATTGGCTCTGGCTGCATCTGTGCCCATGTTACGCTTCAAAAACGGCAGCATTAAATTCCAGCCTGGAAAAGCAATGTGTCTGTACAAATTTGAAAGTAACATTGCTTACTCTGTCTCAATCCTTTGCTGTTTCATCACAACTCCTTTGATCATCATCAAGATCTGCTATGTTAAAGTGTTTCGCTCCGTGTCAAGATCAAATCGTGTTTTCTCGTTGGAAAATAATCTGCAACTCCTTCGGGTGAATGTGGAAGAAGCCAGAGTGACGAAACGTTTGGTGGTAGTTGTGGTCGGCTTTGCATGCTGTTGGCTTCCTGTCTTCGTCGTCGATAACATCGACATGGTACGTGGAGAACCCAAAGTACCACGACAAGTGTACTTAACTTACAGCTTCTTAGTTTATCTGAGTAGCACCAGAAACCCCTTTATCTATTGTGCCACAGATAAGAGGTTCAGACGAGAGTACAAGGTTATTATTAGGAAGATTTTCGGCTTCCAATAATGAGTTGACGGCGAGAACGGCAACGCTTAACTGAATTAGCTTAAGAAATGTTGTAGTAAATGGAATGTTTTTCATATTTCGTTCGAGTTTGTTCCTGATAAAATCAGAAACTTAGGACTTACACATCTTGACACTGAAAATTTAAAAGGTGCTCGAAACCTTGGAGCCGAATGCGGTAACATGTCAAGGTCATCATCACCCGACGAGTGCAAACATTTACTGATATGATACGAAGTAGTCCCTAACCCTACTGGCATTCAATCTACGTGCTCATTGTCAGAGCGATGTGTTTTGAAGGTTCAAAGCTAGTGGTCATGTACGAGCTCAGTATACATAAGAAATCCAACAAAGTGACTGAACACTGTTGTATCATGAAGTACATGTTGACTAGAATTGGATGTAGATTTACAAATTTTGCGGAAGCGAATTCTCGAATGTTTCAGAAATTAGTGGCAGATTTGTTGCCATGACAATGTTTTATCGTGGACATTCAGATCCTTCATGGTCTTTAGAATTTACAACATGTTTTACTCAGTAGCCATGGCAACAAGATACCTTTTTTTTATTGCGGCTTCAGAGGCAATTGTCTAGAAATGTTTACTTTTCTATCATTTGTTGCTACTCAAAATAATTTTTTAAATAAATCAAATGGTGAAAATGTTATAGGTAAATTATTTTTTGCGTTTGAAAGTAACATGGCTTACACTGTAACAACCGAATGTCTTTACATCGCAACACCCTTAACAATCATCACAGTCTGCTATGTCAAAGTGTTCCGTGCAGTTTCAAGATCAAATCGCGTTTTTTCTTCAGACTGTAACCCCTGTGAACTCCGTGCGAATGTGGAAGAAGCGAAAGTGACGAAAACTTTAGTAGCAGTTCTGTTTGGCTTCGCATGTTGTTGGCTTCCTATCTCTGTCATGGACAACGTGGACGCCGGGCGCGGAGAACCCACGATACCACGACAGGCTTACCTGACGTACGCGTTCTTGGCCTATCTGAGTAGCACCATCAACCCCTTCATTTATGGCATCATGAATAGACAGTTCAGGCGAGAGTACAAGATCCTCTGGCGCAAGATTACTTACCTTCGGCGCCAAAATAGCAGCAACAACAACAGCAGCCACAGCACTGAGTGTGCTGCTTGAATTGTTTTCATCTTCCTCAATCTTAAAGAGTTTCACAGGCGTCCCAACAAAATGAGACCGATAAGTGACCTTGCAAGTTCAATGTTAAAGCCGAAGATTTTCCCACACTGAAGTCTAGCTCTCAGGGCAATTTTTTTATTTTACTTACTTGCAAAACTCGTAGTAACAAAGGAAAAGTCATAATTATATTTACGTTTTCTTCGCGACATTGTGTTTCCTCGTTGCAATTTTGTTTCAGAAGCAAAGCCGATTCAGATCAAAAGAGACCGTCTTTAACGACAAAGAGTATTATCAAAAATAGACAAACTTCTTATACAGCAAAGAAAGACATGTAGACGATTGTTATTTTAGTGACGGCGATTCTATCTTACATGTACATTAATTTCAACATTAAAACTATATTTGAAGCTCAATTTCAAATTCTTTATGTGTGTGATCTTTGCGTTTTTCTCTTTTATTTCCAACCATTCCCATTTTCACTTACTCAAAAATTTATTTTGTTACAATTAGTAGAAGTGAGTGGTTATAAAAATTGACAACAAAGATGAAAACAGCGGTGCCGCAGTGTGGTACAAGAGTTCATCGACTGAGCACAAACATATCAAATATTGTGCACACAGTGTGACTGAAAAAATGAGTGGAAAGTTTCTATTGGTCAGCTTGTTTAGCATGCGTGGAATATTATTAAATGTCGTATGCGATCAAGATTAAAAAAAGTTTAACTTACATTATTTTATTTTGATCGGCATATAAGACCGCGGAAGTCAAGTGTCAGTGAAATTTGATGTTTGCACCAACTCACGTTTCTGCTTGAAAACTGCTTAAAAAGTTAACTCAAAACTGTAGCAGATGTTGTCTAAACATCTTGTTTCTAAATATTGACGCGAAAAAGTCACCTCAACATCCTAGATGTTTCTGTCATGTAATCACAAATAAGGTTTGTCGGGAGGAAGTAACTCTATGTTGAAATGTTGAACATTTGAATGAATATTGAGCGGGTTTCGGTACGGTGATTTCTTACTTAAAACAACAATTGCCCCTAAAAGTGGATAATGATGATGGAGACCACATCGAAACTCAAATAGTCTTTCCCTGAGCCGCGATTGAACAAATTTACTCTATTGTAATTATATCTGTATTTAGTTGTTCATTTCATTCATCTCTTGCTTGGCTCCGAGCCTAGGGGAAGTCATTGAAGGGCACAGTAAGTCAACCTAAAAAGAAATGTTTAAAAAAACAAAGAAATGCCATAAATAATAATAATTGGAAACCGTTGCTGGGACAATGAAACCGGGCTATATTGGGTCAATAATGATAAAGACAGATAATGAGTTCGTTAACTTTACCAAGAAAAATATTCCTAAAACCCTTTCATCAACCATTACCTCAGAATCTCCACAGCGGTTACAGTCACAGATTTCTTCACTCATTTGTCAAGAATGATGGTGTCCAACACACTTTCCCATGAGCTTACCATTAGATCTGAAGTCTTAGTTAGGACTGAAACAGTTTTGTTTGCTGTTATCAACGTTGCAGCTGTCCTCGGAACTCTTCTCACTTTTTACGCCGTTTACCGAAAGCGTGGGCTGCGAACAATTCCCAACATGTTTGTAATAGCACTGGCTGTCAGCAATATTCTGATGTGTACCTCCTGTATGCCTTTTACAGTGGCAAGTATTTTCCACGGCAGCTGGATCTTTGGTGAAACGGTCTGTCGTTTTCAAGCAGTTGATACATTTACATTTGGGATGAGCAGTCTTGGAACTATGACAGCAATTGCAGTCAGCCGGTATTTCTGTGTTATCAATCAAGAAAAGTATTGGCTCTGGCTGCATCTGTGCCCATGTTACACTTCAAAAACGGCAGCATTAAATTCCAGCCTGGAAAAGCAATGTGTCTGTACAAATTTGAAAGTAACATTGCTTACTCTGTCTCAATCCTTTGCTGTTTCATCACAACTCCTTTGATCATCATCAAGATCTGCTATGTTAAAGTGTTTCGCTCCGTGTCAAGATCAAATCGTGTTTTCTCGTTGGAAAATAATCTGCAACTCCTTCGGGTGAATGTGGAAGAAGCCAGAGTGACGAAACGTTTGGTGGTAGTTGTGGTCGGCTTTGCATGCTGTTGGCTTCCTGTCTTCGTCGTCGATAACATCGACATGGTACGTGGAGAACCCAAAGTACCACGACAAGTGTACTTAACTTACAGCTTCTTAGTTTATCTGAGTAGCACCAGAAACCCCTTTATCTATTGTGCCACAGATAAGAGGTTCAGACGAGAGTACAAGGTTATTATTAGGAAGATTTTCGGCTTCCAATAATGAGTTGACGGCGAGAACGGCAACGCTTAACTGAATTAGCTTAAGAAATGTTGTAGTAAATGGAATGTTTTTCATATTTCGTTCGAGTTTGTTCCTGATAAAATCAGAAACTTAGGACTTACACATCTTGACACTGAAAATTTAAAAGGTGCTCGAAACCTTGGAGCCGAATGCGGTAACATGTCAAGGTCATCATCACCCGACGAGTGCAAACATTTACTGATATGATACGAAGTAGTCCCTAACCCTACTGGCATTCAATCTACGTGCTCATTGTCAGAGCGATGTGTTTTGAAGGTTCAAAGCTAGTGGTCATGTACGAGCTCAGTATACGTAAGAAATCCAACAAAGTGACTGAACACTGTTGTATCATGAAGTACATGTTGACTAGAATTGGGTGTAGATTTACAAATTTTGCGAAAGCGAATTCTCGAGTGTTTCAGAAATTAGTGGTAGATTTGTTGCCATGACAATGTTTTATCGTGGACATTCAGATCCTTCATGGTCTTTAGAATTTACAACATGTTTTACTCAGTAGCCATGGCAACAAGATACCTTTTTTTTATGCGGCTTCAGAGGCAATTGTCTAGAAATGTTTACTTTTCTATCATTTGTTGCTACTTAAAATAATTTTTTAAATAAATCAAATGGTGAAAATGTTATAGGTAAATTATTTTTCTGACATAACCAGCTGCTTGACTCTTAATAGTTGACAAAATGTATTCTTCTTTAATAGGCCAAGGAAATTGCCGCTTTTTAAAAACTGTTTAAATTTCTAACTTTTATAGAACGAACAAAACTGCTTATTTCTAAGGAAAAGTTGATCTTTAAATAATGTAGGTTTTTCCTAACAAGAGTTACAGTTAATAGACCGATTTTAGCTAAAAAAAGGATGTTTCTAAAATTTACTTTGTACGTACTTTCAAAGAAATGCATGGTAAGCCAAGTTACCTTGTGATGTAGCTTAAGAACTTTAAGAGGCTCTTAAAAGCTGCTGTTACATCTACATCNTATAAGACCGCGGAAGTCAAGTGTCAGTGAAATTTGATGTTTGCACCAACTCACGTTTCTGCTTGAAAACTGCTTAAAAAGTTAACTCAAAACTGTAGCAGATGTTGTCTAAACATCTTGTTTCTAAATATTGACGCGAAAAAGTCACCTCAACATCCTAGATGGTTCTGTCATGTAATCACAAATAAGGTTTGTTAGGAGGAAGTAACTCTATGTTGAAATGTTGAACATTTGAATGAATATTGAGCAGGTTTCGGTACGGTGATTTCTTACTTAAAACAACAATTGCTCCTAAAAGTGGATAATGATGATGGACACCACATCGAAACTCAAACAGTCTTTCCCTGAGCCGCGATTGAACAAATTTACTCTATTTTAATTATATCTGTATTTAGTTGTTCATTTCGTTCATCTCTAGTTTGGCTCCGAGCCTAGGGGAAGTCATTGAAGGGCACAGTAAGTCAAACAAAACAAAAAAATGTTTAAAAAAACAGAGAAATGCCAGCAACTGATATAGATATTCAAAAAGAAATCCTGTTACGTAAATAATAATAATTGGAAACCGTTGCTGGGACAATAAAACCGGGCTATATTGGGTGAATAATGATAAAGACAGATAATGAGGTCGTCAAAATTACCAAGAAAAATATTCCTAACACCCTTTCATCAACCATTACCTCAGAATCTCCACAGCGGTTACAGTCACAGTTTTCTTCACTCATTTGTCAAGAATGACGGTGTCCAAGACACTTTCCCATGAGCTTACTATTAGATCTGAAGTCTTAGTTAGGACTGAAACAGTTTTGTTTGCTTGTTACGCCGTTTACCGAAAGCGAAGGCTGCGAACAATTCCCAACATGTTCGTAATAGCACTGGTTGTCAGCGATATTCTGATGTGTACCTGCTGTATGCCTTTTACAGTGGCAAGTATTTTCCACGGCAGCTGGATCTTTGGTGAAACGGTCTGTCGCTTTCAAGCAGTTGATACATCTACATTTGGGATGGGCAGTCTTGGAACTATGGCAGCAATTGCAGTCAGCCGGTATTTCTGTGTTGTCAATCAAGAAAAGTATTGGCTCTGGCTGCATCTGTGCCCATCGTGATTACTCTTCAAAAACGACAGCATTGAATTCCAGCCTGGAAAAGCAATATGTCTGTACAAATTTGAAAGTAACATTGCTTACTCTGTCTCAATCCTTTGCTGTATCATCAAAACTCACTTGATCATCATCAAGATCTGCTATGTTTAAGTGTTTCGCACTGTGCCAAGATCAAATTGTGTTTTCTCGTTGGAAAATAATCTGCAACTCCTTCGGGTGAATGTGGAAGAAGGCAAAGTGACGAAACGTTTGGTGGTAGTTGTGGTCGGCTTTGCATGCTGTTGGCTTCCTGTCTTCGTCGTCAAGAACATCGACATGGTACGTGGAGAACCCAAACTACCACGACAAGTGTACTTAACTTACAGCTTCTTAGTTTATCTGAGTAGCACCAGAAACCCCTTTATCTATTGTGCCACAGATAAGAAGTTCAGGCGAGAGTAAAAGGTTATTATTAGGAACATTTTCGGCTCCCAATAATGAGTTGACAGCGAGAACGGCAACGCCTCACTGAATTAGCTTAAGAAATGTTGTAGTAAATGGAATGTTTTTCATATTTCGTCCGAGTTTGTTCCTGATAAAATCAGAAACTTAGGACTTACACATCTTGACACTGAAAATTTAAAAGGTGCTGGAAACCTTGGAGCCGAATGCAGTATAACATGTCAAGGTCATCACCCGACGAGTGCAAACATTTACTGATACGATACGAAGTAGTCCCTAACCCTATTGGCATTCAATCTACGTGCTCATTGTCAAAGCGATGTGTTTTGAAGGTTCAACGCTAGTGGTCATGTACGAGCTCAGTATACATAAACAATCCAACAAAGTGACTGAACGCTAAGAATTGGGTGTAAATTTATAAATTTTTCGGAAGCGAATTCTCGAGTGTTTCCGAAAAGGGAGGGTCGAGAAATCGGTATTTTTGTGCATTTTTTAAGATCAGTTCTATTGACGTAGTTGAAAGATTTAAAAGATGTTACTCACAAGTATCTTAGGCAATAAGAAATAACCTGTCTGACTTGAACACACACTTGATGAATATAATGCCAGCCATCGATATATGCTCATAACATCACAGCAGAGTTTTAGAACTTAAGCGCGGTTTTTAATTCGGAGTGATATAATCAAGCCAAGGAAATAGTAAGGACCAATAATAACAAAGAGAATCACCCAGCACGAGAAAACAAGGGTGACCAAGTCACGACTGGTTTTAGTTTGCATCTGATTGGTTTAGAATTTGGCGCGAATTCTCTTGACCAATCACATAGCGTAACGAATCAATACTAAAATGGAGGTAAACTAAAAATGATATCTAAATAACTTAACTGTGAGAATTAAAATCGAATACATTAATTAGAAATATGTGATATCATGATTGTTATTTTTCACTCAAGAGTCACGTATTCTGGATATTCTACGAATTCTTCCGCGAGTACGACGACGAAAGATCCATAAAAAATTCAACAGCAACAACAGCAAAAGTACAAAAAGCCACTGAAAAACACAAATGAAGAAAAAAAAGCGTTCATTCACAACTGCTGCAATCTGATTGGTTAATATAAACGCTATTTTTTCAACACATAGATTCCATGTTACCGTAGGTCTGTTAAAAAAAAAATCACTGATGACGTCAAAATGTGGTGAAAGAAAACGTTGTACAGGAGAGGCAGCCGAGTGTTTCACTGACGACGATTGCTAAATTTTACTTATTGATTCCATGTTGCAAAGCTTCCGCAACTTAAGATCGAAAAAACCTGCGTGTTATTCTTTCCTTATTTATTTATTTATTTATTTATTTATTTCTTCAAGGTTCTTCACTTACCTCGACAAAACACCACATAAGTGATTCTCTTTTAAACTTATACCAATCCGATTTATCATTGCTGACAGTGTCAGCCACAAATGACACTAACAAGGCAACTGCTATCACGGGATCAAGAAAACTGAAACAAGAAACAAGAAACAAAAAAAAAACTGATAATCGCGTCAATTTTTTCCTTTTTATGCGCACACGTTTCAAAGCCCAACCAAAATAATAAATAACAATAACGTGACATACTTTACGATATAATCCCAAATCTTTGGAAGTTTCCAGTCGTCAAGTCCAAACTAGAGAACAAACAAGACAAAAATTCACACGTTTTACACAGTCCGGGAAATGGAAAGCCCTTGAAATTGGCGCTGGACTCGGGGTGGAGAGGTCTAGGTTCGAGCCCTAGCGTGTCATTCTGTTGTGTCCCTGGGGGTATAAATGAGTAAAATTAAAAACGTATTGCCATGGAAACAAGACGAAATAACAAGGTGAACCTGGAATGAACTAACATAATCAGTGGCTAGGCAAACCGAGACAAGTGCCCACGCTGATTAGTCTCGTATCTAGACCTTCCACAGCCATGTGGTCGCTTCAGTAAGACGGTAGGATCTTGGTACGAAATTACCCGCTGATTAAGCCACTAATTTCAGAAACAAACTTAATCCTTTTTTCCCATTAAAACCAAAGGTGATAAAATGAAAAACGCGATGGTCCATGACAACACACCTGATTGACTAGATCCTCCCTAAATTTGGTCACTCCATAAAGAATGGGTAATGATATTGAAACAACACCAGCGAGGACTTGACCAAACGCCCACACAAAATCCTGCAGTAAAAAATATATTTTAACAGCCTTAATCGCATTTCACTTTTTCTTCTAGCAAGCGAAAATATCTAAGAAGTAAAGCAAACAGTGAATTGTTAGTGGAACTAACAAACTTATTGATGTTTTAGAAAAAGATAAATGAAAAAACCACAAGCTGCATACCTTCAATACTCATCGTGTTTAAATAAAGGTTTTACTTACTTACTTTTTTTACTTAGTTTTTTTTCTTCAATCTCTCATTTATCCCATTCATCCATTCAACCATTTATTTATTTTTTCATTTATCTCTTTCTTTCTAAAGCGCAAGAAAACAAGGGTGACCTAATTACGATTGTTCTTGGTTTTGTATCTGATTGCTCGACAGAGTGGCAGGAGTTTGCTGGACCAATCACAGAACGTTAGAATTAACCTCTGGCGTTTACAAACTGGCGTTTACGACTTTTCATTGAAGACTGGTCAATAATACAAACAAAATGATAATAATAATAATGATAATAATAGTAATAATCATAATCATAATGATAATAATAATAATAATAATAATAGTAATAATAATAATAAATAAGCCCTTACCTGATTAACAAGGATGTTCAAATCCAGTGCTGATGGTAAGCCAAAACAGAACAACACCAATAACACTACAGGGAGGCCATACTTTCGAGGAACTGTGAGAAAAGGAATACAATAAACAGACAATTTAGGTCAAAACTTATCAACTACTTAATTGCTTTTGCTTAAGTTTCCTCACTAATTGGTTCAAAAAGGTTGCACTTCCTTCTTAACCAATCACAACTTGACTACTTGCATTTTCCCGTGCTTGAGGACGAGTTCTGGTTGGCTGCTTGTGACGTATTCCTTTGTTTTGATTGGTCATCATAACAACTGTGGTTTTTGGTGTTACAACACTTAATTGAATGCATCGAAAAAATAAGTTTACATTGATAACTGAAAAATTGAATAATTAAATTAATATATGAATGGATAAATATAAGCACCTTGCATCTCCTGAAGCGTACGAACAGGCAATTCTATCATAGCCAAAAGTGAAGTGATACCCCCAAGAGATAAGCAGAGAAAAAACAGCGACGATAGAACACGCCCTGGAATTCCAAGCTGCTTGTAAAGAACTGGCATCCTGACAAAAATAAAAGAATAATAAAATTGTCAAACAAAGACGACGCACATTTGCCCCGAGGATAGGACAAATAAATACATTGAACCCTCTTTGAGAATTTGAGCTCTCATCTCACCTTTCTTGATTTTATAGTCAGATCGTTTACACTTGAACCTCACTACTTAAAGTGCGGGAAAACTATATTGACCATGTCATGATTAGTTTTAAAGCAATTTTCAATAGAGTGTCGAAAGTAATCCAGGATTGCATTGGTTTTCCTTTACTTGGTTCTGTGATTGGTCCATAAAATTCACGCCACTCTCTCAGCCAATCAGATACAAAACGAAATCCAATTACGTCTTGGTCACCCGCATTTTGCCGCGCTTTAGACAGTCTCTAATCCTTTCTTCTGATTGGCCAATGTGATTATCGAATCAAAAAGCACTTCAAATCTGATCAGTTACAGAGGTAACGCGAGTTTGTTCGGTTCAACCATAGAGTGTAATGTATAACAGTAAAACCTGCACATCTTAGCTTACTTGAGCGAGAGTTTATGTTCACAAGTTTCCTTTTTTTTTTAACTTACCAAAGAAAGGTGAGTCCCGTATTGGCAAAGCCATCCTCTCTTAATAGCAGTGCGATTTCAGTTTTATTAGCACCCTCTTTCATCTTGATAGAAAATACCGTGGAATAAAGTGTTATAGCGCTTAATAAACTGAGGAAGAGAAAAGCGATGACATATAAGTACTCTTGGAATACATGCATGGATAAAATTGTGGCATAATGTAAGTTACACACGTTTGAAAATTGTGCAAAACGCTTTGAAGGAAGCATTGAAGATAAAAGGATCAAGTCATAGTTTCTTGATGATTGCACAGCTCCACAACTGTTCAGTTAAGATCTTCCTTGTGCTCACCTCACTAAATTGTTACAAAGTGGAAGAAGGATTCCTAATTTGACCACGCTATTCTGTCTGGACATGTATGTTGCATATGTTAAAAATAACCCTGAACCGGCACCTGGGAGAATTAAAGAAAAGGATTTTTGAAAACATGAAATAAAATAAAAGTAAACAAAAAGTGAACTTGTATGGTACCATCAACTCCATTAAGTTAATTTAAATAATGATTTTTATCATATAGTTAGTTCAAATAATGATATAAAAATCCCAGCCTACTAATACTGGCAAAGGCAGTTGCAGTGTTCCAACCAGTTAAAGGAAATGGAGATGAAATGATGTGAAATAAAATGGGAAAAATTCTGTGACAGGAAAAAAAATTTTTCAAATTAAAAGGAAATTAAATGAAATAGGATGGAAAGTAAGAGAGTAGAATGGAATGGAATGGGATAAAAAGAAATGAAATGAAATAGAAATAAATGAGATAAAATTATCTCAAATCATTTTTTACCTGTATCCCAAGCATTCTGAGAAGCTGCATCCACCCACAGACGTAGGGTTTTCAATTCAGCTACAAGAGAAAAACAAAAGATCTGCAACAACTTTGGTTTCCAGGGCCCCTATTTTACATTTCAAACCACCGGATGCGTTCTTCATAATTATTAGGTGAAAATGTTCTTTAAAAGCTTAGCTTTATAACAACAAAACTGATGCTTTTTGCAGTGCACAGTGACTTCCAAAGCCCAAACAATAAATACATCTTATGCACTGCAGACCCATCAGTCAAAAATAACAGAGGTATTTACTGCTATGGTCCACCAGAAAGCTCTGGTGCACATGGCAAGTGATACACACGTGCAGCAAGTGTAATAGACCTCCAAAACTAGCTCATACCCTAACTCAAGACTTGTATACCGCAACCATCATATAGCAACATACCCCAGTCTGGTGTAAAGAGGTAAGTAATCCCATATGATGCATATTCCAAAGTCAGTGACCAATAGAATGACACCAACAGTACAAATAATAGAAGTGGCATGATGATGCTGTTCACTCGTTCAATAGATGACACAGCTCTGGTCACTGAGAAGCCAGCCAATGACAGGCTTAAAAAGAGAAGAAGGACAGGTAACCACTTGTGATTCTGATAAAAAAAAAAAAAAGGAATATTTTTTAAGTATTTTTCAAATTTCTATGTCATCTGGGTTTGGCATTAGTAATTATATAATAAGTTGATTTAGTCATGCATTCTATCTGGTTCTTACTTATGATCTACTGGAAGATAGAGACACAGATGATGATGTCATCATCAAAGACATTTTGCTTTTTTGTCAATCCATATAAAACAACTTGATTCCATGTTGCCATAAGTTTGGTTTCAGTTATAGGTCACAGAAGACGTCAAAGTATGGTACAAACATCAGTGACACACTCAGCAGCTTCTCACCTGCTAATTTGTTGTTCTCATCACATTTTGATGTCATCCATAATCTGTTGCTGAGCAGACACAAGGCTGCTCATTTCAAGAAATTAACTACATCTGGTAAATCAAGTCACAAATTACTAAAAAACACATCACCTTTAATTCATTCCAAATATTTTGGCTTGCTTTTAACGATTCAGGCAGTTGATGGGAGATGGAATAAAAGAGATAATAAAGACACCAACCAACCACCACAGAATAATAAGACCTGAAACCCAATCAGGTGATCATCTCAGCTCAACGATAAAACAAATAACAATTTTCATGAAAATGATTGGTTTTCACCAGCCATAGTGTAACCACCATAGTGTACCCATCATGCTTTGTAAATGGACAATGTTCATGTCATGCCCGTGTAACTGGAGAGTATATACTCTATGTGCACCAGCTCTTGTCACACACTTTGCCAAGTTAACTGTTGTTTTTTCAAAGTTTTGGTGATTAGTGGGTTGTAATTGACAAATCAAACTCTCACTTTGTGGAGAAGGGATCAAAGTTTCAACATCCCCCCTTACCCCAGCAACTCACAGGAATTTGACTGTCATCTGTGTATGGGGGGGGGGCGGAAATTTGTACCTTGCCTGAGTGGGGTGGAAATGTGGAACCGAAGGAATACACATTTTTTAATCTTACATATGGAGGAGTTTAAGGGTTAAGAGTCTGCTTTTCTGAGTAAATGGCTTAGAGGAAAATTTTCACATTGTAGAATCATGCTTTCAATCAAAAAACCAAACAGCAGCACCAAAAATCACTACATGACTTTGCTAGATTCTACAAAGTTCTTCATTCATGCAAAGTATTGTTCAATAAAAAATTGTGCTTGAGTGAGGCATTGAAAACTTCAATGGTAAAGGCAAGTTGTTGCTACAAAGTCAAGTTAACTGAATGGGAAGATTATTGGTACACAATAAATTACTCATTAAGAAAATAGACACTTGGACACTTACGCAATGCAAATAACAACTGCAACCATCCATCCCCCACACCATAATGACCAGGGTCCAAGGAGCACTCTGAATGATTTCACAGGAGCTTTTCTTGTATATCGGCCAACAGAATATTCTATCAGGATCACTGGTATTGACCACAGACCAAGGAACAATAACCACACCAACAAAAACTGGAGTCCACCTATTATAATAACAAGGCATGTTATGTAATACTGATAACATGTTGTTAGACAAGGTACTTCTGGTGGGGGAGGGGTTATATCCTCTACACCCCCCCAAACACCTCTCCTTGTCACACCGCCAAGCCCCCGACCCACCCCTGACAAGCCTCCAAAGTAAACAAAGTTATTGGAACCGACCAAAATTCTTAGAACCCGGCATGGATTATTAATTCACGATAATGTTCGCGTGATTCTTCTGAGCAAAACTGTCTTTGATGAAAAAAATCTACAAGTTTGTGACAATAATCTAAAGGCTATTTGTACTCCATAGACGAACAGATTGAATGGAATTTTGTAAACGTAAACAAACAGATACAGAAACAACTGCATCGATAATTTCTCTACCTTCGTCTCCACTGTTGTTCGCGACTATCCTTGGAAATCTCCAGATGTTTCCTGTCCCTATCACGCAGCCCAAGCACGACAAAACAAGGCCCCATTTGCTTGAAAACGTAAGAGGGCTCTGCGCCACATCAAATGAAGGAATTCACAAAATTACATCACACTGAGTAGATTTATTTTTCATTATGCGACATCGCGTGGAATAACAAATCAATTTTGAAAAACTTCTGTACCTCATTTTGGAAATTTGAACTTGTGCTAGAGTCACTGCGTAAAAGCGGGCGATGTTCTCCGTCAGACATACTTGAGATGCAGGTCTTAATCGATAAATTTGTTTCCTGATCCGTGCACAGACCAGTTCCTCAAGTTCCGGGAAAACAATGTGAAGGTCAACTCCGAGTTCCAGTCCTTCACGTTAATTACGTAAAACGCCTGGAAGAAATTATGTAGCATCAGCTGGGAATATTGCAGTAGTAAAACAGTGTTGTACTTCGTAAATCTTATGATTAGAAGAAAAATGTCGGGCTGGTTCTCATTTTGGAGAGTCCAGACGAAGCTAGAGGAATGTACAGGGCCGTTTTTTGTTGGCTGCACTGATTTAATGTGCGCTAAAGATGAATTTACAGGTGTTTCTACAGTAGCCGGTAGTTTTATACGTTTCTTTTACCCAGCGGAGAAGACCGCCGCAACATTGAATGAATCGAAAAGATGTTTTTGGATACCTCGTCAACAATACGCATCAGGGCTTGTAAACTTCATGAAACTTCCGGTTTGGCTTCTGGGAAGATTTTTCTACTGGTGTGTTGGTAGGTGCAGAGTTCAAAGTTGAGTTGCTGCTAAAGGTTGAAGTAATCGACCGCGTACAGTACGGCTCAAATGTAAGTTACCATCGTCTCGAGAGATGTGTTTCGTTTCTCTCGAGACGCGTCTCGTTTCATTCGAGTCTCTTCTCGCTTGTTGAGCTGTTGATTGCGATGCAGCGGGAATCACCTTCCTCCTGGGGGTGGGGCAGCGGCATGCATCTCCGGAAAAAAATGAGGAAAAAATGAAATACTCAAGACGTGCATTCCTTTATTCAGAATGTGTGAGTAGAAAGTCCACTCGACAGGTCTATGGTCAGCTTAGCACCATACTTTTAATATTCTAGGTGGCTTGCAGATCCCTGCAATTTATAATGCACCTCTTTGTAAACCTACTGGAGAGGAACAGTTGTTACCTTGTGTTGTATTTTCACATGGCCTGGGTGGTAACAGGTTGATCTATAGTACGTACTGCTGTGAGTTGGCTTCCCATGGCTGTCTGGTGGCATGTGTGGAACACAGGTGAGAAATTCTTGCTTTAGTCAGTTTTGTGAGTATGTTATGATTCATGTTAGGAAGGTGAGTATTAGCATTCAAAAGTTAGTGTATTAATCCACTGCACAAATGAAGCATTGTGGTGAATTTTTCATCAATCAGATGGGACAATAAAAGAGGTTAACTTGACTTTTACAGTAAGCATCAGTTGAAAATTGAAAGCCTAAAACAATTTTTATTTTAAAACCAGCACAAAACAAAATATCTAACCACAAGTCCTTGGAGAATTAATGGTGCAGAATCCAAAGTTTATTTTTCAGGGCTTTGTGTTAGTGTCTCTTGCGTAACACTTAATTTGAAAATATCAAAATAGAATATAAAACTTTTTCTTTTTTAAAATAATAGAGACGAATCAGCTTCTGCTACTTATGTTCTGAAGAAGAATGAAGGAGATGAAAAGACAACAGAGGAATGGATCCAGTACCGCCATCTCCAAGCAAATGATGATGGGTCTGAACTTCGAAACAAGCAGGTGTGTTTAATCTGTATTTCAGATACCACTGTAGTAAAGGTACAATAACAGTTTGTACCTCCATTTAGTGGCTCATTCTGACATAGCTTATCCTAGTTTGTAATAATTCCCTGAGACTCATTTACCCTCAGCTACAGAGAGCCATTTTTAGAGTTAAGTTTCTTGCAGAAGAATACAGCCCAGCAACCCAGCCTGTGCTCAAAGTGAGACCTGTTGAAGTTTCTTGTTGACGCTTCACTGAGTTCCCAATGCCTGCCATTAAGGCACCTTTACTCTCTCTTTTAATATTACAACCTTACTTTTACTTTTGGTGTATTTTTTATCTAACAGGTTCACATCAGAGCAAATGAATGTATAAGTGCCCATAACATTCTTGAAAATATTCAGTCTGGACGTTTTCCAACAAATTTATTCCAGGAAAATTCTATTTTACAACAACTAAAGGTAATTGAAGGCAATTTGCTTCTTTGTTCGTGAATTTTTTTTTTCTGGTCTTTTTATCTTCTTTCCTTCCATCCACTAATCTATTTATTGGCACTAGTTATTTCAAGGAATGAGAATGCTTTTGATGTTGTAGCAAATAATCCACTGTTCTTTGGATAAGCAGAGAAGTTTGTTTTGGTGACACCTCTCCTGTGAAGAGCAGTCCATTCAGTTTATTTTAAATTTCATGTTTTTTTATATAACATCGTTTACGGCTCATAGAGTCAGACACTAGAAAAAGATACTATCAATAGCTTTCCATTTGAATGGTTACTCCCCACTTTGACTGCTAGAATAGAGCTAATTTATAAATTTTTTTTCTTTGTCTTCTTTTAAAGGGAAGACTGGACTTAAAAAAGTTTGCAGTTGTTGGTCATTCGTTTGGAGGTGCTACTACTGTCCTGACTTTGGCAAAGGACAAGCGATTTAGGTACAGTGCACATCACAACATTGATAAAGTTAAATTTGTTAAACTCAGTTCTTTTCAGGCTCCTCTTTTTAATGTATTTAGTTAACAGTACCTCACAGATGGAAAGATTCAAATAAAAAAAGATTACATTGTTTGTTACAGTAGGACTTCATTAAGATTGGTATTTGAACAAAGCTTGCCTGTGTTCATATCTTACATTGTTAGCAAAAGTTGCAGAGCTTCTTAAAAAAGAATGCATTTTCACCATCTCAGATTTAGGAGAAAATTTAGATGGACCTGACTTTATAAATGTGTCCAATAACACCTTTTCATCAAATAAATTTGTTATTTTCAACCTTTAGCTACAAGCTTCTTCTAAGTACCTTTGTTGACTTAATTAAGTTCTCAACTCTTTTATTTATGTTTTAGGTGTGGTGTGGCTCTTGATGTGTGGATGCTGCCATTAGGAAAAGAGATATATAACTATAATCTTGATCAGCCATTACTGTTTGTCAATTCACAGCAATTTCATCGCTGGGACCAAAACATGGATCCTCTTAAAAAGTTAATTAATGATAAGCCAGGTTTGCTTTCCTACATTTTTTTTTTCTTTTTTTTTTCTTACTCCTCTTTATGAATTCCCTATTTCTTAGCTTAAGAGCAAACTTTTATTCAAAAGTCACAGCACGTTTCTATTGAGTTTCATCAAACCAAAACCAAAGAAATCACAACAATCAATCAGAGCGAAGGAAATGTCACAAGGAGCCAATGGGAACACAAAGTGAAAACGAGTAAACTGTGCAAAGCGCCGGAAACGCAAATGACAAAGTCGCTATTCGGTTAAGTTTTAGATCTGATTGGTTGAGAGGATGGCATGAGTTCCTGAACCAATCACAGTGCAAAGTAAAGCAAAACCGTTACAATCTCGCATTACTTTCGATGATCAACTGAAAACTGGTCCATTTTTTAACGAAATGGCTTAAAAATGAGGTTTTTGAATTTTGTTCTTTGCAGAAACACGGTCAATCATAGCGATTAGGTGAGAACTTGTCTTTTTACTATTTTATAAATGATCTTCTGCGGAATAATTTTTTTCTTTTGCAGCCACTGACCTCTGTGAAGTGAAGTTGTCCATAAAAAGCCTTATCCATAGTTTTCCGGTTTGACTTTAAACTTATTCCCTTGCTGCCAGTTTGGCTCCAACAGTCCATGCTAAAGGAACTTTCATTTACCAAAAATGGTGGCAAAAAAGTTTCCACGTGTTTTTCTTCATCAGGTGGACAAGACATATGAACCAATGTGACATACCGTCAGTTTTACCACCATACATGCTGTATTGGACTTCACTCGGTAGTAAACTTGATCCAACTACTGCAGTGAAACTTAACAGACAAGCTATCTGGGCTTTTCTAAGGAGACATCTTGGTACGTGAACGATAACTTGTGCAAGAATTATAGGGAAAGTACGGTCTAGAAAAAGTTTACTTTTATCAAAAGTTCCTTACTTCCTTTGTTTTATTTCAACTCACTTATCTGACTATATGGTGAAAATCTCGCTTTCTTTAGTTCATTCTAAACTTACTGCTCGAGAAACCCTCAGGTTTAAAAAGAGGGTCTTCCTTTGTAATTATCGTAAGTTCTATGCACACGCACTAATTGCTTGTGAACATTACCGTTTTTGTTGACGTTTTTTTGGGGGGGGCTTACACTTTTCAACTTTGAATATCCATCAACATGGTGTTCACTGGAAGCTGAAAGACACTTGTGTATAAGTAACAATTATTCCAAAAGCGCGCGTTGGATATGAGATGGTAGATAGCCAACGAGGCGCTACTCGCCTCGTTGGCTATAATCATCTCATATCCAACAAGCGCAAGTGGAATAATTGTTTTATTAAAAACGCCCCCCAGATATTAGAAAAATCTTAAATTTTTTAGCTCCCTTTTAATTTTAACCTGACTTGTACGCTTGCCATATTTTTAGATTATGGTATATTGGCTCATATACCATAATGGCTAAGCCAATAAAAAGTCTTGAATTGCATTATCCAATGATCCAGTTTTTAATAATGTAAAATATCCACCGGGTATATAGGGTGTAAGTCCCTGTGGGGTTGAGGCTTAAAACTGATGCACATGGTCTCCTCTAAAACCCCCAGGGGAATACCGTAAAACTTGCAGGAGTTCACAGTAACATCCACGCGGGTATGCCAGAAATTCTAACTTGGCTTTTGAAACTGAGGCAAGGATGCTAAGATATGAAGGTACAAAAGTTTCAAATTTCATGTGTTTGTTTTCTCAGATATTGGAAATCCACCTGTACGTGAACCAGTTATTGACGGCGGGGAAGGGACACCGGAATACATCATCATCGGTCCAGAATTTATAACTGAAGAAGAACACAAGAAACTAGACACGGCAAAGAGTTCATTGTAGTACTCTGAAGAAAATTAACCCTCTTTCCAAATTGATTTTTCTATCGGTGTCCAAATTGTATGCTTCCGAAGGTGACCTATTCCTCCACTACCTCCATTCATGACTCTATTCTATTCAATCAAATATCAGAGGGAAGTAGTTTTGAAAATAGCCGGCGTTATTTTGACGTAAAGAAAATATTTTTGGAAGCCTGTTACTCTCTAAACGTTCCTACAAACTTACAAAACACTTTTACTTGAAAGAAAACTAACTGCCTTCGCAGCCCAAGTCTTCCCAGTTTTGAATGATAATAGAGTTTTGAAACACTCGATAAGTATTTGAAATAGTCATCAAATCTTACTCTATTTATTACAACATGCACTTCTAAGAAACACAATTTTAAATGTGGCTCCTTTGATGTAAATTTCCAAGAATCAATAAACACTCCAAAAAAGTGTCACCTGTTTTAACGCGCGCTAATCATATAGACAGTTATATTCCGGGTTGTTTTACATCAAAAATATCCAAGAGATTTTTGAATAAGAGCTTAGCTATTCATCTTTCCTACTACAGATAAAAAGCGATTAATCAAAGCCCTGAATGGTTCGGTAAATCCAGATGGGGAACACGTAAGCTGCAAGCTATCAGGTGGTGAAGATTTTTAAGAGTGTTATTGAGCTTCAGTAAATACTTCATCATGGCGGGCCACTTTTGATCTCACCAGTGAATAGAATGTCGGTCGTACGTTGCTTAGGAACGATACAAAAAAATTTCAAAATGATATCTGCACTTAGTTTATTCTTAAAGCCGATCAAAAACTGAGACATTGCAAGGCATTGCCTCTCGCATATGACTTGCTTTTTCTCTTCTTCTGAATATTCAAGTAGACCTGCCTTCCAGTCGAGCGGTAAACCTTACTTCAGGATTAGTCTCAGTCTCTATAATATTATGGTGCTGGCAACGAAGAATCTTGCTAAAGATATCCTTGTATTCTCGCCTCAATTCCTTATTCATGACGCCGTAAATAACCGGGTTTATGGTGCTACTCAAGTAAAGCAAGAACGCGTAAGAAATGTACACTTCTCGCGGGAAAGCGTTGTTCCCGCGCAAGGCATCAGTGGTGTCGATGACATAAATTGGCATCCAACAAGACACAAAACCAACTAGAACTGCAACTAAAGTCTTGCTCACTTTGGCTTCCTCAATATTCGCTCGTAAACGAGGAAAATCGCTTTCTTCCGAGAAAACTCGATTTGATCTTGAAACTGCGCGGAACACCATTACATAGCTGATGGTTATAAGTGTTAAGGGGGCTGTGATACAAACAAATCCGACAAACAATGTATAACCAATGTCGCTTTCGAATGTGTACAAACACATCCCTTTTCCCGGCTTGAATTCAAATCCGCCTTTCTCAAAGAAAATGGGAGGTACAGATCCAACGAGAGCTGCCAACCACGCAAAAGCAATGTAAAAAGAAATTTTCTCCTTCCTAAACAACACCAAGTACCTTTCTGGTTTTACAACGCAGAAATATCGGCTGATTGCAATGACTCCCATGCAATAAATTGAAGCCACTGCAAACGTGAACACCTCGAAACCATTAACTCGACAAAAAGTTTCACCAAAGATCCACTGACCGTAGAAAAGAGTTACAACTGTAAATGGCATACAGCAGATGGAAATCAGAATATCACTTACAGCCAATGCTATCACGAACATGTTGGGAATTGTGCGGAGCCTGTGGTTTCTGTACACGATGTAGCAAGTAAGAAGGTTGCCAAAGAAAACCAAAACGTTAATTATGGCAAACAAAACTGTCTCGGTCCAAATTGAGATTTCGGACCTTGATGCGAGCTCGAGAGAGTGTGATTCCTTCATGACGTTTTTCAGATCCTCTCTTTCCGTTCTGGAGTCGCAGGATGAAGAAGCATCGAATATAATTCACGATCGCCAACGGAAGATTGCAAAATTCTGGATTTGATGCATTAACGACTTTATCATGATTATCACGTATCAAAGCCGATATCCTTCATAAAATGTCAGCTGCCCACTTTTTGTTCTTTATTTTTGTTTTTGTTAAACCTAACCTTTGTGGGCATCAGAGGATAGCAGCACTGAAAAGTGGAGGTTGGCAAATATTGGTAATGAGTGACAGCTTAAATAGTGATATTTCAATAAACTTGAACAAACCAAGTGAAATTTGTCAATTTGCAACTTGTCAGGAATTTTTCAAATGACATCATTTATTTTTTTCAAGTCTTGTTAATCTACATATCAATTCATTATCACCTCCAGGTTAATTGATTGTAGGGGAATTATGGCAAAGCGTGCATTTGTTTTCTATAATTTATATTTGAGATCAAGTTGTGCACTTTCCTGTTATAGAGTCTTAACGGTCACCCAATTACATTAATCTCACAAAACCGATGATGACAGTTTGAAGAGGGCGTTTTTAAATTTTCAAAACAGATAAAGGCTCAAGAAGCAAAAATTGAATTAAGTGAGAGCCACCTACTCTAATTTGCAATTTCAGTCGTTGTTATGAAGGGAAAACTGTCAAAATTCATGAAATCGACTAAAAGCTGCTACTTTCGACTTGCCAGGGAATCAATACGGATTTGATAACATTCTTGAAATGACATTTATTTCCAAAGGGAGTATATTATTTTATGCAGCTTGCACAGCGTTTTATCATTATCCCAGATAGGTTACATCCGGGACTTACAATGGCAGATACTTGTGAACATGTGATTTCGGGCCGCTTTTAGTTAAGCTTCAGTGCAGGGCAAATATGTTACTGAAAACTGAATGGCTCTTAGAAGGAATCCTCCTTATCCCATTTCAGAAGGATTTCAAGAGAGGTGTCCATTTCACGTTCAGTTAAGTGAATGAATGAATGAAGGAATTCCTTATTTATATTGGGCCCTTTCTATACAATATTCAAAGGCGCAGTACCCCCCATCAATTTGATAGACACTACACAAAGATAGACCACAACACCGGGCACTACGTGCCCTACTCTTTTCGAACACTGTGTGGATTCTTTAACGTCCCACAAATTTTTTTATCACACACAAGGGTTTGTGAGACGGCACCTCCATTTATCGTCCCTATCCGAGAAGACTAGAAAGTCTAACCATTTGCAGATATTATTACAAAGGCAGCACTTTCTTCTCGGTTATTCAAAGAGCCTGAGTGTTGGTCCGGCCGGATTTGAACTCACGACCTCCCGCACAATAGTCCGGCGCTCTACCAATTGAGCTAACCGGGAGGCGGTGGTAGACTGTATTTACTTGATTTTAGCCATAGTTAGTACAGTTAATCGCTACAACAGATCATGCAAACTAATCACGTGGCGGCGGGCGAAAACCACGTGTAGACGTCTAAGATTAGTCTTTCGTTAGTACTTAGATTGCAGGAGTAGCGATCCAAACATCACTTGGAAGGCTTCACTTAGACTTGTGTGTCTGTTTTTTAGTAGTATTTCTCGGACAGGGCGGCGTAGAGTGGATAAAACAATCCAGTACGATCTGGAAAACATTCGCAGCACCGCCTCCATTTTAATTACCTTAGCTCAGATTGGGCGACTTGATTCAGGATAATACAAGCTACCCACGAGTTATCTCTGCGATCGCTTTACCTTAGCTCGGAAGTTAAGACATAAATCGTATTTTGATAAAGGTTGTCCGTTTAATTCTCCCAGCAAACCGAGCTCAACCCTCGCAATGCACAGTGTACAACACTTGGTTATTGGCAAGCGAGCAAGAGGCATAAACCATTTTTAAGAAACCAGGCACAAATTGACAGCAACACCGGCTGTAACGTTTGCGGCCACCAAAAATCTAAATGCTCAAGTTCAAGGGGGCGTCGCTCCAAAACGCGGTTAACAAGGTGTTTGGGGACTATTTTAGAGATCGAGATAACAAACCAAAGTCGACTGTTTGCGCAAATCTTTATTCTTGAAAGGCAATTGACCACGAACCACACTCAACGATGAAAATCACGATCAATCTCACAATCAATCAATCTATGGATCGTAAACTGAAACAACAATACAACGAAGTTCTATCCGTGAATCTAATGAAGTGTCACGGCATACATAATCAAAGAATCACGTGTAAAAAACTCGGCCCCAACCTCAAAGCTTTAACTAGTAAGCCACCAATTCCTGTTGATTTTTTTGCATTTTTTTTCGAGGAGCATCTTTTAGTCTCTCCTGGCCATATCAATCACAGCCATTTACTTTGTTATAGTTTTAAAATTAGAAAACAGAAAAAAGTGCTAATCAAAACTTTTCAATCGCTGCACTCAACGATCGATCGCAAAAAACGGCGTGGAACTTTGTTGCATGCACCTGTGACAGAGATTGGATCACTCTCCTGCTGTGCAACCCAATTTTTTCCCGATATTTTAAACATTTCCAATCTAAAGGCTGACATCGCTTTTCCGGTTAATAAAATTCGTAATAGCAATTTGTATAATTTCAGAGCTGAGCAAAGAGTTTCCAGCAATCTGATTGGTCGAACGGTTCCTTATATGACGCTATATGAACCGCTCCACGCGGTTTATATAAAATGTTAAAATAAAATGTTAATAAATGTTACTAAAATGTTATGATTTTAGAAATATCTCTGTTGTTCAGCTCGGAAATTATACTAAAACAATTATTCGCCTCAGGTTCGGTGAATATTGTCGAAAAATCCGACGATATTCACCGAACCTGAGGCGAATAATTTTTAATAAACATGAGTTTATTTCTATAAGTATTGAAAATGGTTGGAAATTTAAAACCCTTGACGCGCGATCTTGTTTCAGTTTGCTTGCTCCAGGAGGTGTATAGTATATACCAAATGAACACGTGAATAGGAAAGGAAGGGGAGCTTAAGTAAAGGCAAATATCTTAATTGATTGGTCGAACGGTTCCTTATATGACGCTATATGAACCGCTCCACGCGGTTTATATAAAATGTTAAAATAAAATGTTAATAAATGTTACTAAAATGTTATAATTTTAGAAATATCTCTGTTGTTCAGCTCGGAAATTATACTAAAACAATTATTCGCCTCAGGTTCGGTGTATATTTTCGAATAATCCCCTCGACTTCGTCTCGGGGATTATTCGACGATATTCACCTCGCCTTCGGCGAATAATTGTTAAATACTACCTTTTTCAAATGAGCTCCATGCCCCACCTTGACTTAATAAGCCTCTCACCAACCCCCTCTCATCCTTGTCGACTAAACGTGCTCTTAGAAATTTAGCCGGTTAAGAGCGAGCGTATGCCACCTGCCCTGAATACTTTACCTTTTACCTTTAGATCCCTAGTAATTCTTATCATACAGTCTGGGTGTCAAAGCTATCATATCGTCGTGCCACTTCAATCTAGTGTTGTGAGAGTCCTGCATTTTGATACCGCAAGATATGTTGACATGAAAGCCGCTCTTCATGATACTGCACTCGTGTATCTCGCTCCTTTGAGCTCGAATGTTACGAGTATCTAACGTCACGCTCGAGAGTAGCGTTTCACACACGAGTATTTCATTTAACGCTCGCGTATGTCCCCTTTGTATCGCAAATTAAAAGTAACAATTTGCACTACGCTCGTCAAATTGTAAGTTCATAGAGGACATTTTAGCGCTGGTTTGTTGCTCCTTACAGCTTATGGCTTATAAAGGTGTTAAAACTAAAAATGAATAAATGGGGTAAGTTTCTAAAGAAACTGTAGTGCTACATCGGTGGGGGTATCTACAAGATAATTTGGTTTTATCGGCTGAGTTAATAATATAAATCGGCCACCGCAAATAGAAAGCTTTTCAAACTCTTTTCAGGGGCCAATTTACATCAACTCAGTTGATAAAACCAAATTATCCTGTTAAAGCTAAAGATCTTAACTGGTTATAGAGTGCCAAGTACGGAAATAGTTGACAAAATGGTATATGCTGTCACTTAAAAATTAACGTAATCTTTTACCCCAAAGTGTATTTAATTTTCTCTCCGAAGTGAATCAATTTCCTGACTTTCAAACCTGTCAGAATACTAATATTACATTTCGTTGATCGATCAAAACCAGCAAATTCAGTTACCAATATCTTCTGATTGTTTTCCAGGAGGCTAAAGTATTTCTCTCGAAAATAGTGAAAATTTTTCATTTTTGAAGGCGTGAACTTTGACGAGTATTAATTTTTCAGGAGGAAAAACACAAAAGATTTGCATTTTGTTTTAAAACAAGTGACGCCAATTACCTCCGCTCAATAGTAAAGAAAATTTTGTTAATGAATCTTGCTTCAAAGTTTTCCCGCTTTTTGTTCCGGTAGCCGAAAGCTATGATGAAAAACCCTTTTTTCGAATTTGCTACCCGGGCTAAATCTCTAGTTTGAATTGAAACAGTTTTGTTTGCTGCCATTAATGTTTTGGCTTTCTTCGCCAATCTTCTCATTTGTTTCGCCGTGTGTAAAAACCACAGGCTTCGCACGCCTCCCAACATGTTTGTGATAGCTCTGACTGTAAGTGATATTCAGATCTCCACCTGTTGTACACCTTTTACGGTCACAAGTCTTTTTTACGGTCACAAGTCTTTTTTACGGTCACAAGTCTTTTTTACGGTCACAAGTCTTTTTTACGGTCACGAGTCTTTTTTACGGTCACAAGTCTTTTTTACGGTCGTTGGGTTTTTGGCAAAAGCTTTTGCTCCCTTCAGGGTTTTGGAGTGTACGCTTTTTCAATTGTGTCCTTTTTTACCATGGGAATAAATGCAGTGAGTCGATATTTCTGCGTCGTGAAACCTGCAAAGTATCGCATGTTGTTTACGAAGAAAAAATACATTTGATTTACATTGCTATTTTTTGTTGTTTGGCTTTCGCTGGATCTGCGCTTTCATTCTTCAAATCTGGAACCGACGTATTTCAGTTTCATCCGGGCAAAGCGATGTGTTTGATCGTCTTCGAAGGTGACGACGCAGCTTTTATAGTCTTTGGAAACGTTTTTTATATAGCCACTCCTTTCGCCATTATCACAGTCTGCTGCGTCAAAGTATTCCGCGCTGTTTCATGATCAAATCGTGTCTTCTCACACAAAAATAACCCCCAGCGACTACGGGCAAATGTAGGAGAAGCAAAAGTGACAAAGAATTTAGTAGTGGTTGTCCTCGGATTTGTATGTTGTTTGGTTCCAGTTTACGTTATGGATTTCATTGATGTGAAAAGCAAGAAACATACTTTGCCAAGACAAGGGTATCTTCCAATGGCGTTCTTTCTGTACCTGAGTAGCACCTTTCATATACGGTGCCATGAATAGGCAGTTTAGGTGAGAATGCAATTTCATAGTGTGTAAAATCCTTCGCTTCAAATATCAGAACAGTCATAGGTAAAACTATACGGCGCGATTTGGTGATGTTCTTCACGTCAAAATTCATGCAGCTTACGCGAGAGACTGATTTACTTACACAGAAATATTAATTCGACGGCACAGGTTCGTTGTTTGTGTGATTATAAAATGAGAGAGATGGCAAAATTTGAACTCATTTTATTCGTGTTGCCAGAAACGAGGGATAAAAAACAAACAAACAAAAAAGCTGAGTTTCCCTCGGCTACACGCTCTGGACCGAGGGATTAATTTAGTTTTGTTGTTGTTGTTGCTTTATGCATAGTTAGTAGAGGGGAACTGGTTATGAAACCTGGCAAACTTCAGAAGGCCGGCCTATTGTTTCGCTTTTGAGGTTGAACAAGTCCATCACGTGATCGTGACCCTGCACATCATAAAGCAATATGGCGGACGAGACAGACGCGCTGTTCATGTTTGGTGATGATTTAGAAGCTATTTTCGATGTTTTAGAAGAAGATGAGAGAATACGAGGTGACTTCTCGGAAGCAGTGAACCTGGTAAGTGTTGAAGATTTTATTTTTGACTCAAATTATCGACAAATACACTCGAAAGTGTTCAAACTGTTTCTGTAAACAGTCACAACTTTCTTGTATTTTGGATTTATACAGCCAGTAAAAATAGCATGAAATGTGTAGGCTTTTTGCAGAATTTTAATCTCAGTACATTTAGCAATTATTTAAAAAGTAAACTGAATTAAAAAACAAAGAAAAATGACCATAAAGATCTCAAAACCATGAACGATGTTTCCCTATAATCGACCCTTTGCTACAACAATTTCTTGCCTAGACTTTGCTAACTCCGAACTTTCTACTTTATTATGCTATGTATTCAGTGTATTCATTATTATCCCCCTTTTTAGACCCAAACTTATCATATCGTTTGTGAATGTGGGCAAAGCTACAAAACCAAAGCTGGATATGAGAGACACTGGACCGCAAAACATGGGAACATCGAAAGTAAGTCCGCTACACTGTTCACAACCAGCCTTGTCGCCGAGGTGGTGAACAGTGCTGTACAGAGTATTAAAGAAAGGAAGGTGTTCAATTTAAGCATTAAGAATGAGCTGACTGTATTGATATTTGACTTAGAGGAAAGATCTGATGAATTCTTTTATCTCAAAACAATCTATGAATCACTAAGAAAGAAAGGAGATGTTGAAAAGTTTTATTCTAATTTTTAGGGAACTGTTGCATTGAATGCCACCAAGTACTTCAAAGGACTCACACGAAATGCAGCAACATTTTTGGCAACTAAGGTGACAGACACTATGATAACAAACTAAAAAAAAACAGAAGTTATCTTCTGTAAGCGATGAGTCCATCCACGAATTGACAAACAAACAAAAGGCTGGGCTACAATATGTGAGCGGTTATGTAGTGCAAAACTTGCTAACTATGCTTTATGTGATTGTATCTCTTACCCTGTCTCTAAATTTTCAAACTGAAACCCTGAATTAGAAAATGAAAAACAATTCCTTGAACTAGTGTGAAATGTTGCGTTGATGTGACGTCCAATGCTTTGCTAAAAATGAGTCTATTTCGATCACAGCTTTAACAATAAATACTATTCTACTATGTCAAATTGTTCCGCGCAGGAAAACTTACACTCTTACTGTCTGGGAGATTTTACCATTGATTCGATTCTTATAGATGTGAGCCAGCTTCTAGACTTATTAAGTTCATCCTCTCGTAATATTCGGTCCCAGGTCCCTCTCTCAAACTTTCCGGGTTACTTGATACAGTGCTGTTGTTAAGCTCACATGTGTTGCTCTGGGGGTAGTAGTTGAATGAGACACACGTCACCTCTATAAGGCAATAGGCCATACACTTCCATGAAGAGGTCACGTGATACTCCGTGTGAATCACGTGACCTGTCAATGCTAACTGTACACCGGTTTTTGACACGAGGAGGTGAAACAAAGCATCTTCATGATGGATGTCTTGGTTTTCTTTGATATGGGTGAAAATAACATCACAGAGATTAATTAAATATGGCACCTTGTGTCTATTTAACCAGGAGCCCATTACCCAGAGCTTCCATCTCAGTTGTTCCTGTAACGTTGCTAGGAAACGAGGCTCCTCTCACCCCAGGACTTGGAGGAAGAAGAGCGGGAAAATCTGGTCGGCCATCTTGTTGTGTTGAGGTAGTGTCGCCGCGGCTAATTGTATTAAAGGAGGTTTATTAAACGTTACATACCCTTGAATCAACCCTGTCCCGTATCTTTTTATTTTTAGAGATGAGATATCTGCGGGGGTTCTTATCCTTAAACTTTCCGCGCTTTCCGTCATTATTGAAATAATTTTGTGCGACCTGCAAGTAACACAATAGAGACGTAACACAATAGGACGACAGCTCTCTTATGATTGGCTATCATAAAAACACCCGCGAAAACCGCCGTGGGAGGTGCTTCTAAAAATAGAAAGATAGGGGACAGGGTTGGCTCAGAGGGTCAGTATGGAAGATTGAAGCTCCAGGTAATGGGCTCCTGATTTAACCAATCGAATCCGTATCTCTTCAGTAATAAATCACTAGTGACACTAAAATTGTGGTAAATATAAAAAAGTAGCTCATGAGGCGCAGCTGAGGGTGTCACTGATGTCATTTTTATTTTCTGAGAAAGTCGTTTTATGCAGTGTTCTCTCAAGTTCTAATTTCTATTTATCAATCAATTGGAAGTCAGAAAAAAATCAGTTTTGGTCACAGTTACTAAGATTTGTTTTAATGGCACAAGAGAATTACTATGCTGTAAGAATTCTTGAAATACGACCAACTCTCTCTCTTCTAAGTCTGGAGTGGCCTATAACTATTTTAAACCCAACTGATGGATTTCTCACCTACGCAATATCTTGCTTTCACTTCCAAAGCTGTCGGCTGCAGCTTATACACATAGTATCCATAGCAATGCTTGACTTGCGCCGGAACTTCGGCGAAGCAGCAGTTGTCATTCCAACTAAAGCAAACAGTCCGGTTTACAAGGCCTTCCTCCGCAGATGGGTGACCTCCGCGAAGCCAACCTGAAGCCTGGGTTCCACAAGTCCGAGGTTCTGTACAGGAGTCAGGTAACTGGTGAAAAAATTCACATATTCAAAATATGGGTAATTCGTAAATTAGCTCTTTCTTTAGTCTGCTAGGGAACTAGTCTAGAGCAGTTCGCAATACCCATTCAAGTCATGCGATATTTCCCCCTTTAGCAGCATAGATTTTGTAATTTTATGCCCCACCCGATCAAAACTCTCCCTTGAAAGTTTAAACTTCAAGACCTCCCCTCACAATAATTGTAAATATAAAGCAGACCTGCACTGGGGTCGCTGTGGCTGGACTAACAAAGCGGTACCATATGCTGTTGTCGATGTCATTATCATTTTGCGCCAACACTTGATTATGTACCACGTGATGAGCTGTTCTAGTCCCTTCCACTAGGTCTCTGAATTCCGTGCACATCTCACGTCTGCCTTGAATTTAACAGAGGATAGCTTTTGATATTAACTGAGTAAAGGTAAATAAGATAAAGTCTATACTCCAGCCTACTGGCCCACCCAACCGGAGCTTATACCGGTTTTTAGAAACATGAAGCGACCAAGCGTATCGCCACCCCTTTCCTCTCTGGATAGGATGCCATTCCATCGCAATGCTACCCCCAAAATTACATCAGGCTTCCATTACAATTCGCAGGTGCCCATACATACTTCTGGGTGGAGAGAGGTAAAGTCATAGTGAGGCGTTTCGCTAAAGAAGACAGCACATTGACCTTCCCAGGTCTCGAGCCGGGATCTCTCGATTCGGAGTCCAGTGCACTGACCATTAGAAGTCTTTGGCCACTGCGTTTCTAAAATTTTTTTAGCAGTTTTTCGGGAAAAATAGCTCAGCCAATTTGGGGTAAAATTTATGTAAATCAGAGAGCACAAAAATGCATTAGATATAAATAATGGAACAAAAAAGGACTGATCGCAGGGAAGCTAATGATAAATGGATTCTTAGTATAGTAATAATTATTGCACTGCCCGGTAGAGTTTTCCTTTAAAAGATCCAAGCTTGGCACTCGCTTATAAAACTTTTTTACTTACTGCGCAAGTTCAAAATAAATCTGTAGTAATCAGCACCATGTTTGTTACTGGCCACACAGTCAATCGCCCACGTGGTAATACCCCTTTGAATAATGATTGACAGATTCAGCGTCAGGTCGGATGAACTGTTTTGAAGGACGACACCATCTTTGACCCAGGCCACGAGCGGTTCAGGGTAACCGAAAGGCTCTGGACAGACCAGAGTTAAAGAAGTTTGGTCATATGCGTCCTGCACTGAGTGTTCCACTGGCTTGTATTTCAAAATGGCTAGAAAGAAAGAGATACTGTTATCATCTTTTTTGAATTTCTCTAAAAAACCAACTCTTTAAGTTCGTATTCAGTGACAATCTTACAGTAAGTGCTGTAACCAAGGGCTGCTGAGTGGAATTAGGAACTAACAACGAGTGTCGTTTCTCTATCATTACCAATTAGATACGGACGAAGCTCTCTCTATGTCCATTGTTGAGCCATTGATGTATAACACTCCCCACCTTCTACTCCCTGCCAATTCGCCCTTTCCCATCTCCCCCTATTAGACTCTTCATTATAGATAAAGAACTTAAATTAGGCACGTCAATTTATGACCAAACGAAAAGCTTTTATGGACTTAACCCTCAAGCTTTCAAGATCTGATTGTTAATTCTCCTCTCTAGCTGCTACATTTTTCTTGTAAATTACTTTCGAGAATTTGGTTTTAGATCGAGATAAAAACTTCCTTATAAGTTTGAATACTCTCATAACTCGTTTTCTGGCTAATGTATGGATAATACAGGGAGAAGTTACATGTTAATCACTTCTGGGATTTGAAACAAAAGGTTAAATTGCAAAATACCTCTGCTTTCAGAATACACCTCCACTTCGCACAAAGTCAGAATCATTTTACTTCCCACAAGTCTGATATTTACGTATCGTCCAGTTTTTCTCGGTTTACAATAAAACGAATCTTTGAGCGAAGTGGCCATAGAGTACAACCCACCGCACCTCGGATTCGAGTTCCCGTTATTTACCAAACTATCACCTGAGGCGGAAAAAAACTTCCGGTTAGACTACCTTGTTTATCGTTGAAGTCAAATACCTGCAGTTAATCAGGGTTAAAGCTTTCCTTTTCAAAATGACAAAATACAAACTACGACTTGATACTCTTTCCATATGTAATAAGCACTTATTGACTTTTGACTTTCCAAAGTGAAAACGCTGAGGGTTTCTTGCTCGGGTGGAAATAAACTCACTGTTTCCAATTGGGCTAGTCATGAACTCTGAAATTAGAAAAAGAACTGCAAAATATTTTTTTTTGACGCGCGCTGGCACACAAATTTTCGGCACATGCGGGTCGAAAGGTCCATATAAGTTGTTATTTTGCTAGGGAGTGAATGAGTATTGATACATGGCACGTGATAAGTTCTCCTCCAATCGGAAAACGCATTTGAGTTCAAAGCCTTAACAAAGAGCTTATCTACCTAACACGGATACTATGTTAACCGTAAGCTTTACTTGATGTAGTTCATCGGATATATCCTAGCGTGAGTTTTAGCCAAAGCTAGGCTGGCCAAGTTCAGCTGCAAGCTTGTTTGAGTGGGGTTTGTAAATAAGATGAAATAATAACATGAAAGTAAATTATATCCAGAGGGAATTTTTAGCCTACCCACTCGGATTTCTATGTTGAAAAGCCTGTAGCTAGCTTCTACTCTGTTGACTATGAACACCTCTGACACGTACTGACTTGATCCCAGATCCCCACGCCACCAAGGATCCGTTGTTGTATATGTATGTGTACAACATGATGAGGAAAAACGGCCGTCAATATTTCCATCCAATGCTCGCACCGGATAAGCAGAGTGGGACACAGTGGACTGAGATGCTGACTTGCCCAAAGCAAGGTTTGCTGTCAAAGTAGAAGCAAAAGTAACCGACTATGCTGATAGCAATATAACTTAAAAGCTTACATGAACCCACCTCTAACAGTCTCGTCACAGGAAGAACAGTTCAATGTTCAAAACTGACAACTCATTATGGTCTCTACTTCCAATTTTTTATCATTTACCACTATAACTACATGATGGCTGCACAATTTTTGCTTGCTAATACATCAATCAATTCGAAGCTACAACATCCTCCCACCTGGATAACCCACGGGTAATGACTGTCGTCATTACCCGGGTAGGCTGGAAAAAATTTGAACCTTACCTGGGTGGTGTGAGAAATTTGAAGCGGAATTGTTAAGTCTTTCCAGCGAAATAAACGCGTTTTATCCTTTAATATACACCGAATGCAAATATGGCGTCCAATTTGAATTGCCATTGTTCTGGGCTGACTAGCCTTGTCTTCACGTGGAAACACAAAAGGATTAATACATGTGTGAGAGGCTAGTCAGTCCAGAACAATGGCAATTCAAATTGGACGCCATATTTGCATTCGGTGTATAGAAGTGTTCAATGTTCACTTTCGCAAACAGATGGCTCAGAAAAGGGCTACAAGGAAGTCACCGTCGCTAATCTTGCCTCAGTTTTACAAATTGACAATCTAGTCTGACTTTTGGGTGGGGCGTTTAAACGCTAATTTGGTCTCAGGGGAAGGAAAAAGCTCAGATGCCGTTTTATTGCCCGGCATAACTGGTTGTTTCCCTTTCACTTTCCTCCAGCTAACCTCCACATCATCCCTCCAACCCTCCTACCATCCTTCCTCCCTCTCATTCTCTATACATAGCTACCGATCAGCCTGTCTCTCTTCCTTCTTACCCATCCGCTTATATCCCTACCATCCTTCCTTCCTCCCTCTCTTTCTCTATACATAGCAACCGATCAGCCTGTCCCGTTTCATTCTTACCCATCAGCTTACATCCCTAGCATCCTTCCTTCCTCCCTCTCTTTCTCTATACATAGCTACCGATCAGCCAGTCTCTCTTCCTTCTTACCCAGCACGAACCCATCAGCCTGTCTCTCTTCCTTCTTAACCATCAGCTTACATCCCTACCATCTTTCCATCCTCCCTCTCTTTCTCTATACATAGCAACCCATCAGCCTGTCTCTCTTCCTTCTTAACCATCAGCTTACATCCCTACCATCTTTCCATCCTCCCTCTCTTTCTCTATACATAGCTACCCATCAGCCTGTCTCTCTTCATTCTTAACCATCAGCTTACATCCCTACCATCCTTCCTTCCTCTCTGTCTTTCTCTATACATAGCTACCCATCAGCCTGTCTCTCTTCATTCTTAACCATCAGCTTACATCACAACCATCCTTCCTTCCTCCCTCTCTTTCTATATACATAGCAACCGATCACCCAGTCTCTCTTCCTTCTTACCCAGCAGCTTACATCCCTACCATCCCTCCTTCCTTTCTCTCTTTCTCTATAGATAGTTACCGATCGGCCCGGCTGTCTCTCTTTCTTCTTACCCATCAGCTTACATCCCTACCATCCTTCCTTGCTCCCTCTCTTTCTCTATACATAGCTACCCATCAGCCTGTCTCTCTTCCTTCCTACCCATCAGCTTATATCCCTACCATCCTTCCTTCCTTTCTCTCTTTCTCTATACATAGCTGCCGATCAGCCAGTCTCTCTTTCTTCTTACCCATCAGGTTACATCCCTACCATCTTTCCTTCCTTTCTCTCTGCTTTCTTATCCACCACCATTATTAAGTTTCCTACCTACATCTTTATCTACCTCATAGGAGAATACTTGCGGCCCACCTGTTGGATTAGGATTTACTGACATCCCACAGATCTCCAGTTTCTTGTTGTCTCCCGCTATTCGGATGTTCACATACCGACCTCTGATACCCGGGATGCAGAAGAAGGACTTTTCTTGTGATGAAGTTGTAGTGTATGGTCCTCCAAACTTTTGATTTGAGTTTCCTTCATTATCGAGACTGTCACCTAAGGAATAAGAAAATGCAAAGTTAGTAAACAGAAATACAGGATACAACTGACTTTATCTCTCCTCGCTTCACGATCCTTTGATAAGAAGTGCCTAAGGATCTTCATTAAGTTTACCGATGGAGCGACGAAATCTTACACTGGGCTACGATTGGTCTGGGAACCTCAAGCAACCCCCCTTCCCGAACCAATCAGATTTAAAACTAAAATCAGTCGAGAATTAGTCATTCCCGTTTTCACACGGTTGAAAGTACCACGCTGGAATCTTACTGGTTTCTTCTTCTCTCCTTTGTTCTAATCAGCCATTGGAAAAGAAAAAGAAAATATACTAAAGGTTGAGCAAATGTTTGGTTGTATAACTCGGACCACTCACCGATTCGTATTTCGAAATCTGTTAATGCATGTGCACCGGTCAAAATGCTTATTGCATCGACAACGTAACTCCTCCCCAGATCTACACGCCACCAAGGGTCTGTAAGTAGACTGGTGACTGCACACCGTGCTGATGTACCTTCAACAGCCAATGCAGCCTCTGACTCGCCGTGACCGGATATTTTTGCTGGTTGTCTCAATGCCAAGTCAGCTGAGGTAAAATGTGATAAAATAATTTATTGTCTTCAGATTCTCAATGAAGCTGTTAGAATCTTAAGCCGAAGGGGGCTTGGCACGAGAAAGTTTATTTCTCGCAGGAGTCTTCCTGTTGTGAAGTGTCATTGAAACAGATAGCAATCTGTCGCAACAACTTATCTTGGTTTTTTTTATGACATTCTAACAAAGAAGTAAAGTCGAATGGGCCTTATAGAACTGGGATAGGATGTCTCTTTACCAGACCAAGGTGTCGAACCGCTGAAAAGGAAAAAAGTTGTCAACAATTTCCTTTTCCTTTTTTCCTATTATGAAATGCAATGGCTTGACCGGGTCGTCGTGTTGTGTTGTTAGTTAATACAGGTGAATAAATGGGTACAGGAAAACTGTTTGGGAAGCCTGACAAAATGGAGTGGAGAGGGGAGGCGGAGAGCGGGAAGTTGCGATGGTCTAACACTCCACCCAGGGGGCAGTTCTGGGACTCTTCACCACAAAGACTTAAATTCGGTCTTATGCCGGGAAAATCACACAAATTTTGCTCCACATAAACTATTTTAATTGTTTTTAACTGTCAGTTCTCTGTATCTTGAGACGTGCAATGAGACATGCATTGATTATCCAATGTATATCACCATCATTTAGGAACCTCGAGACTATTTTCAGATGAAGTCAAACAACAAATTTCCACAGATGAATAATTTGCGATGTGTTGTGGATTGCAGCTTTTTTGTTTATACATACCTGCTGTTACATCAGAGATTCTTAAAAACAGAATTATGATCCCAGTTTCTATCATCACCTGCGTTTTAAATTCAGAAACTATACTCAACGCTTTAGACTTTTTAAGAGGCGTTTGGACTTAAAAGAGAATTTTCCAAGAAAGAGAAAATTAACATAACTGAAGTGAGGAGATGGATTTGAATTTTGCTCAAGTCCTTGACTCAAGTTGCGTAGATTATTTAGTAAACTGCAGAACTCTCGTAGAGCTACGGCACCAAAGTTAACCGCGGTTAAAGCGCCCAAAAAATATTCGAGCGCGTGTTTTCTTTAACCACTGAATGCAAAAAGAAAAGTTTGATGAAAGACCTTCCGTGTAGTGCTTTAACAATCCAGAAGTTTATTACAGCAACATGATTATGTCAGGTAAAATGCAACTAAATGTACTAAATATTGTGATCAGAATGAATCAAATGGCGTACTTACGCTAACAAAGTTCAATATAAAGTAGTTATCCGTTGACATTGTTGTAGATTTATGCAAAAATCCCTCTGAGGCCCATCGCGTACATGCTATTTGACACTGAAAAAGTTTACATAACCAATTGCATCGCGAAGCTCTCTTATTCCAGCATAAAACTTGATTATGAATACACAATGTAAACAACTTTTGGTCTTTTCAAAGGATCAGTCCCCAATTGCTGCCGGAGGGACATAGAATGAACTGATCGAGTCGTTTCTGTTATTCTGTTTCGTACATAATGAATTAAACAGAGTATCTAGCGTCCCACCGCGATGGCATAATTTCCCAATTTATATGAATCCATCACAAAATTAATATTTTCTAGTTAGATCGTCACAAATTTCTCAGCTTTATTCATTATCATATGTTTTTGCTCATGAAGACAGCTGTGTGAAAGTTTTCCCTCGTCTATTAAATCCAAAAATCGACAAAGATTGTTTCTGATTCCTTAAAATCCCCTTTGAATTTTGACATCATAGGAAGTAATTAATATTTTTTCAACGAAACCAGTCTGCTCTGTTGAAATGCCAATCAAGCAGGTGCTAAAGTCACTGAACCAAACCAAACCAAACCATCGACTATGTTGAATACCATATGGCCGAACATATTTCACTCACCAAATCTTACAATTTAAAATAAAGATGAATATATCAAGACTAAAAATAGGATTTCGTGTTCTAACTTTGGGAAGAGGATCGTGTTATCGATTACTATATAATTTATCAACTAATGAAATAAGTGAAAAAATTACTTAGTTCTGATTGGTTAAGATATATGCAGTTTTCAGGCAATTTAGCGTAGAAGAGAGTTAATTCAGCGCAGAAGAGGGTTAATTCAGTGCAAAGAAAATAACAAACCAGACATTCTGGTTGGTCAGTAATGAAAGAAACTCACAGAAGTACCAAAACTCACTGAACAATTCCTTGAACAGTTTGGCCGGACTTTGAACTTTTTCGCGCCTTTAAGATGTGAAAATTTCATTTTATCTTATTGTTTTGATCGTACGCGGTGGTTTTGACCTAACTCACAATGTCACTTGCAGGGTTTAAATTAATTATTTTTGCACGTGATGCGCGCGCTTTTCTTTTACATAATTGTGATAAGCTACCTCGTATTTTTTCACGTATATTATGAATACATAATCACATGATTTTTCTCGTGAAATTTGAAATAAATAAGCACTTGTAAAATTTCTTTTACAAATTGCATTCGCCCTACGGGTTCATGCAATTTTGTTAGTCTTTGAAAAAACTTACTCGTGCTTATTTATTCGAAGTTGCACTCGAAATCATGTGATTACCTATACGAATTTTGCATGTCTGAGAATTGAAATAAGCCCATTTCAACGAAACAAACAGCTATATTGCTGATGACCCGCTAAATCTGCAGTTGACTCTGGTAAATTGACTGAATTCTTTATACTAATAGCTGGTAAAAAAAAATTTAAAAAGGATTATTTTGATGGACCGATCTGGGGACTTTGCTTTAAGGTGTGGTTCATAGCTACTGATGAACCACTCCTTACAAAAAGAACATTTTACAAAAATAAAAGAACCCATGGCTCAAACTCTCTTTCTTTAAATTGCAAATCAAGAAAAATTGTGTTTCAGTAAATCAATTTCACGGGCGTGTCTCAATGACTCAAAACCAGGTGCAAGCTGGTGACGTGGGCGTGTGCATTCAGAGGCGTGGCAGTGAGAATTTTCTCTTTTAAAACATTCAGGCTACCGCTTTGAAAATATTACAAAATATGTTATTTATTCTGTACACTTTGCTTTCATCGAGAAGCACTTGGGCATTTGACGAGCCGTTTCGAAGCTATAGACACTCCCTGCTCCGCCTAGAGGACTTCTTAAGCATCCGTCATGTTTTCCAAACCTCCCGTGTTCCACATATCTCAATGAATGCACATCTAACATGTAAGCCAATCATAATGTGGCTCATATTCGATTTGAAGGAAAAATTGAAAAGTTATTTCTTCTCGAATATGTGACCATAGGAAACTTTGGCAGACCATGACGGCGACGGAAACGAGGACATGGCAAAACAAAAAGATGTAATGAGCAAAGCAACAGCTTAGCACGTGCGTTTTAAGACTTCGTACATTTCTCAGATGTCCTCCCCAAAAAAACAACGTGAAAGTACCAGAATTTGCGTGGACTATTGACGGAAACCTAGACGGTAAATTATTTATGTTTCCATGTGCAGCTCGACGCTTCTCGCATATGCTATGCTGAAGTTCAGGTGTGGCTCCGTAGGAGACATTAAACGCATCCAACCATTTGCGAAAATGTAACCAAAAACATGAATTCATTCTGTAATCGACGTCTTCCTCGACGTTCCGTTGTTGATATTCTTTAAATGTTTCTAATTTTTTTCTTTGTCTCCGCAAAAACTTCTCTCCAGTCCTTTTCTGCGTTCCCCTGAATGCTTGAAATTTAACAAAGCGACAGTGGTAGCGTGGTCTGTATTCTTACCGGCAATAACATTCGTCATCAAAGTGGTTAAAAGGATGTGGACTCACGAGCCGCAGCCGAGTAAGTCCGCAATAAACTTCGACCACTGCGATGACGAATACTGTTGTCGATAAGAGTAAAGACCACGCTAACTACTATCGATTTGTTTCTTACCAGAAAATCGACGTCGAATAAAACTTTTTTTTAATGCGTGACCAAGATCGTGACACGTTGACGCGAGTAGCGTTGTCTGTACCGTTTATCGACTAGGGCAAATTGTCCAATCACATTACGCCAGCTGTGGTAAAAATAGATGTTGTGACATTCCTGTAAATCTAATATGCGGCTGCTCATAAGAGAAGCCCGGAGGGGGGTGTATGCTTTCTCCACTTTCCACCAGTCCCTTTTTAACGTTCCCCTGAAAGCGTGATTGTGTGAATATGCGAGTATGTACCTGCTTGTCGGTGTGGTTCGAAGGGAGTGTCAACTACTGTTCTCTACACACTCAGGTTAGTTCATTTATTCGTACAACTAGCGATAAGATATCCATCATCTATTTCTCCCAAATTCATCATGAAATAAGCTCAACAAACAGGCCTTTATTGTCAAGAAAGTTAAAGTTGTTTACCTGGTCTACGGGTTTTAAGGAATCAATCTTAAACTGTTGAGTTAAGGTGTATGACAGCTGTATAACTCAGTGGCTTTTTGTTGATACGACATGGAATTCCAATCATCGTTACTGTACGGAGCAAGTAACTTAAAGCGGCTGATATCTTTCTTAAGAACGTTTTTTAAAAAAATGGTTATTTTATCATCACCGTTATTTCCCAACTAGAAAATTACCATCCCAATCTCCAGCTGAACGAAAATTTGAATTCTACAGCAACAGAATCATCAATTTAGGTTAACCAAAAATTTATTTGTTAAGGTGAAGCAATCAAACAAACGAGCCTGATATTGCTCTTCAACTGAAACAACAAAACAATCTTTCACCAAAATCCATGGGATAGCGCTGTTTAAGACATGATTTACACAATTTCTTTTCAAACCTTTTAAGGAGTATCTAATTGCTTGGGTTCAAGTGTAAAATCGTTTCGTTAAGTGTTAATGGAATTAGTGAATTTCAAGGAAACAAAAGATAAGCATTAGGAAAGAAATGTTAATAGGCCATTTTACAGTTGTGTACTTAGTTGCCAAGCCTTTGATTTGGGGTGAGGCTGAAGGTGACCTTGTCGTGATAGAGACCTGTATTTAGTTAGCATGATAACAAAGTGATTTACATTTGAAAGACAGTGAGGTCTGTATCATAACAAGGTCACCCCTAGCCTCACTCCCGTTAAAAGGCCTGGCAACCAAGCACACAACTGTAAAATGGACTATTGTTCTTGGTTCTCACAGCATTATTAGATGGTCTTCGTCTGCTGACACACTCAGCCGATCATGGAGCATTCATGTAGACCGATATTTCACACTGGGAAAAAGTATATCTTTCATCGAGAGATGAAAACCTCATTTGAAGGCCATCGTGTATGTATTGATTATCAGTGTGATTAGGACGAAATATCAACACTGTTTGAAATAGAAATGGGTTTTTAGCTCAAGAACATCCACGGGGACTTCAATTAAGAATATTTTTAACTAAAATGCTTAGGGATGATTGTGCACCCTAACATCAGTATACGAATTCTCAATACTGTTCTGTATACTATTCCTAAAGTGCTGAAGAGCTAACAAAGAGAATTTGTTTAACAATCAAAAGCTTTTCTGGTTGGTGATCATTTACTTTCATTCTCCTGACCTCAATGCTCGATTCGGGGCTAATATTGTAAGGAGAATTTAGATACCAGTCACTCTTAGGGATTAAAAGATTAATAATAAGATTAATAATAAAAATCAAAACTTTCAGGGGAAGTCTCTTGGTGTAAACACCGGTGCTAGCGTTCATTTTTTTTGTTGTTCTTAATTTGGTGGTGCGCGGAGCAGACGACATTGAGAACTTGCTGACGAAGTTCGTTGTTGGTTTACTAGGAAATGGGAAGCGATTTTAGAGTAGCAATCTGTACAACGGGGTTGATTTTTCTCGTTGTGTTTTTCATTGTGGCATCCGTCGCTAATGGTTTACTCCTTGTTGTTCTGTACAAAGATCCCTTAAGATGCTTCAGGAAGCCTATAGTGGTCTGCAAAGCCGTTCTGGCGCTGATAGACATTTTGAGCGGAAGTATAACAGGAATTGATGTTGTCTACAATTCCATTTTATGCGTACTTGGAAAAGAGAACACCTCCTCACTTGAAGGTACAATATTCGCGGCAGTTTTCGCCGGGTTTACAATTTGTACAGCAAATATGTTAGCACTGCTGCTGTCCTGTGAGAGGCTCTTTGCTGTAGCTTTCCCAATCGTCTATCGGCAAAAGCCCACGGTGAGGAGAGGTGTCATTGCTGTGGTATCCGTGGTGGTTTATTCCCTGACCTTCAGCTTATTAAGTTTAGCGGGGTCAAAATAGATGAGTGCACCTTCACGCTTTCACTTGACTGCCACTGCACCCTTTTTGGCTTTGATTGCATTCAATATAGCGCTTATTATAGTGGTGCGACTGCACAACAGGAAAGCAGAATGTCTTTTAGAAGATTCTGAACGGTCATTAAACTCCACCGGCGTTGAATTAAGACGGAGAAAGAGAGAGAGGGCTTTGGCAGTCACCACACAACTGATAGTGTTTTGTTTTGTGACATCTCTGCTTCCTTATCTCATCTTTAAACTATTGGATCTCTATTTACCAGAATGCAGAGGGCAGGATTGGTTTTTCGCCGGTGTAAGATTTTTCCTCCCGTTTCTCTACTTAAACCCTACCGCCAACCCTCTGATATTCAACTTCAGGCTTGCCCACATCCGGCGGGCGTTCAGACTCGTTTTCATGTCACGCTTTAAGTCACGTGATAGTCACCTTCAGCCGGAAGTCATACATTTGAGTTCCTTCGGAAGGTCACGTGACAGCTAATGACGAGTGAAATGCTAACTTCCTCGGAGCATCATCTTTCGTGAATGAACAACAACAATAAAATTGACATTTTGTTATTTATTAATACAATCCTGCCAGGGAATTTTCTGATTACATTAAGTGTTTCAAACATACTAGAAATGATATCCAGGTGTTACAATGAACATTTATGTTCACCTGACACATAGAAATTTGTTGAAAATTTTGAGGGACCAGACATCATTTATCGCCAGCAGGAGGGGGGAACAGGATCTTTGGTTATCTCATAATTAATTTTTTCTGACCCACCTTCCCCGGTTCTGAAGTATTCTAATGATTCCCCTCGTGGGCAGTCAATTTTCTGTNCCCAAAGCGATGAGTAATGAGTGGTCCCTTATCAGACTCGTTTTCATGTCACGCTTTAAGTCACGTGATAGTCACCTACAGTCGGAGGTCATACAGTTGAGTTCCTTCCGAAAGTCACGTGACAGCTGAATGCTTATAATGGTTTGTTGTCCCTCAGATATCAGAGTCTGAGTGCAACAGTTCTAAGACTTCCTATGGGTTGATCAATGGTCAGATTACAAAATTGCAATACATGCTCTTAGATTTTAATGTTCTGCACTTCTTGCTTTAAAATGTTTAATCTCGATGTAGTGGTTAGTGAGACATGACTTGTTAATGTAAAGACTCATTCCCGTCTTGTGTGTCGTTCTTGTTTATCTTTTCGTTTAAAAACCTGTTAGAGTTGCAATTGACACAGGAATAACACCGCATGGAGTTAACAGGACCCTCCACGATTTTCGGTCCCATCAAGTCGTACCTAACAAAACGTGTCGACAAAGCAAATCACATATTAAGCTTAAACAACAGAAGATAAGGGAAGATAGGGACAGTTCCTTGACTAAAAGCATTTTTTTCTCGTTTTAAGCGCAGTGCTTTAACTTTAGCGCCTTCAAGAGACAGAGGCTTCGCCTGTGCTTTTTTAAAGATCTCCTTTAAATAAAGAGAGTTTTATGTTTTAAATAAAGAGAGTTTTATGTTTTAAATAAAGAGAGTTTTATGCTAGTCATGTATCCAGCCAAAGAACGCACAACCAGTTTCAGAGTGGTTACTTACCATCTGTGTTGATTCGGTGGGGTTTTCGAAGTTTTCTCTTTCCTTTCCTCGTACACAGCAACACCAAGCGACACCAACTACCACAACGAACAGGACTCCAACCACAGGAATGAGTATCTTAGCCAGAAGAGGCAACGGTTCACCTAAAGATGTTGAACGGTCCGTAAAAGATACAATGGAGTAAACTCAGAGCATATTCTGTCGCACAACATATCCGTACGTTATTGTATGATTACCTACTGTCGATGGTTCTCCCGGAGTAAACCCAGAGACAGCACCAGGTATTTGCACTATAAATATAGAATGTGTAAAAGCTTTCATTAAAAACAAGCAAGGGAAATAAAAAACAAACCTTATATGTTTTGGCAGTGTTATTGTAGGGAAGCGACGAGCACACATGAACTCAACTCAACCTTTTGATGTCTCTCTCCTCGTGGTTTCTCTCTACATACCATAATACTATGGACTAGTGTCCAATCTCCTTGCAGGCAGTGAGTTTCTGTCTCATAGGTAACAGAAAGCTTTCGATCAAGAGGGGAATAATAAGAAGACAAGGTGCATCATGTGATCAGACAAAAAAGGCGTGAGGGAATGGGTCAGATTAGGATTAGTAAGACAAAGAGACGTGAAAATAGAAAATGAGATGGAAAGAGCATGGGGGTGGTTATTAAATTAAAGAAACTCATCAAACATTTCAAATCTTTTAAAAAAATGAGAAATAATTTACCTGAACCTATCGAGTTGCTGGTTGTCTGAACACCTCTGGCACTTGACGGTGAGCATGACGTCTGCGCTGATACTAAGGAACCTGAGGAAAGATCTATAATACCGGATGTTGGACTCGACCGCTCAAAAAATACAGAGAAATTCGCAGCCGTTTGAAAGCCAATATGATTTGATGATTTTGTTAATTTCAGTGAAGACGCAGTTTCCTGAACAAAAGTGACAGATGATAATGGAGTGAATACTATTCCTAATAGACCGTGGAAACTAATTTTGTGAAGGGAGCCTGTAGCTTGGAAACCTGTGGCACTAGATGATGGTCGTGGAAAGTAACTTGTGGCTGGGTGGTCTGTGGCACGTGACGATGAATTTCCTCCATTTGCGGACTCGGCGGAACGAATAGCCTGGTTACCTGTGGCCCCAAAGGATGAAGAGAGAGATGAGAAGAAACTTAAGACGATGGTACATAACAATGGTTTATTAATTACATGATTTTCGCGAATTCAGAGAAACAGAAAGGTTATATCCCGTTGGAAATTTTTTATTTCCGGGGGAGGATAAACCCCTTCAGATTGTACTGGCATAATTTCTCAACTTTCAACAAAATTGTGATCAGCATGTTTTTAGCCAGCTTGTGTCTAAAATCGTACACTGGTGCTCAAAATGGGACATTAGTGTCCACAAAGGGATGTAATAATTGTCAAGCCGCGAGCGTAATTTTGAGTTTCGCAATTTAAAGCTATTTTCCTAATACTTGTGACATCGTGTCTGTTTAAAAATAGGCTTGATTCCAATACTAGAAACAAAC